ATGTCTTCAACACCAGCGATTCTACGACTCAGGATGGACCCCATCTCTGCTTTCTCTGTTGGGTCGCTCGATATTAGCTCCAGTTAGCTAGCAGCGAACGATGCGTCGGCAGTTCCAACTTCCTCTGCCTTCAGTCTAGACTAACACCAAAACGATAATAACACCAAACACAAATACACGCTTTATTTATTCTAACATTTTACTCGCTCTGTTTTTTGGTGGCTACGCGGCGAAAAGGAAAACAAATCGAAACGAGCTGTTGTTTTGCCAGAGGAGAGCTAACAAAGCAGGGAGACACGCTGATTGGCTGTCGCCGAGCGTTCCGGAGCGTTCGCTCTGTGTATAGGGACTGCCCGGAGGTCCACACGGAGCTAATTTAGTAACGAAGGGAAGGTGTCAGAGCACGGGCGTCAGCTCCAATCCAGCAAATTCAACGCTGTATGAACTACGTGTAGGAAATGTTTGACCTAGGGTTGATGCTTCCCAGAGGGTCATACTGATTTCTATAAAGTTAGAAAGGAGCAACAAACTGCATTGCATGGTTACAGATTACATAAAAAAGTCTATCAGAGTAGTTGCACTTAAATTAGTCTACAGCTTGCCAGTTGACTGATATGTAGCACTTCCTAGGTCACTGATGAAGGGAATTTTCAATACAGACTCACTGAAGAAATCTTGAGATTCCTTAGCATAGTTATGATTTTTTGTGGGGTTGGTTCGTTTATCTTTTATAAAAATTTTGGTCGCCCTTTACCAGTCCCAGGCCTCTAGCTCCTTGTATAATTTTCCCATGTGTGCTTTAGAAAAAATTTATAAACGATGACAAGGCATAATGCTGCTCACTGATTGTCACCACTCTTGTCAGCTTAAAAATCTCTCCCATCAAAAGTGTTTTATTTAACTTTTTCTTTATAACATGGCAGCACAGTGTGTTGTTGGGGGCTTTTTGTCCCCTGGCAGGGTCTCCAAAGTGATCCTGGGTGAGGGACCAAAGAGGGATTCAAAAACCCCTATAAGCAGAAGATCAAGGGAACTGTTCCTGCCTGGGATAGGGTTACTGGTTACCCTCTCGGGACCCTGGAGTCAGGCCCAGCGAGGGGCAAACGTCTGGTGGTTGGGCCTCCATTGCTAAAACTGCTGCACTGAAGCTGCAGGGAAACAGGGAACCATCAGGCTGAAGGAGGAGTCTTATTGGGCTTTGTTAGCCTGTGGGACTTCAGAGGCAGCTGATAGGTACCGACAGGCCAAGAGGAACACAGCTCGAGCAGTGGTTGAAGTAAAAACTCGAGTGTGGAAGGAGTTCGGAGAGGCCATGGAAAAACACTTTTGGACTGCCTTGAAGAGATTCTGGCAAACCATCAGGCGACTCAGAAGGGGAAGTGGTACTTTACCTACATTGTGTATACCTGTGGAGGTTCTCAGTGCTCCACGTCATCGTAGTCAAAGGAGCTTGGAAAGAAAAGCGTCTGGACTTCTTTAAGTTTCTTGTGAACCCTAAAGAAGTCCAGACGCTGCTGATTTTGAAGGAAGACATTGTCGGGCTTTGGAAGGAATACTTTGAGGACCACCTTAATCCCACTGACACATCTTCTGTAAAGGTAGCAGCATATGGGGACAAGGGAGACAACTTGTCTATCTCCGGGGGTTACGCCACTGAGGCAGTTAAATAACTTCTTAGTGGCAGGGCTCCCGGGGTGGATGAGGTTAGGCCTGGGTTCCTGAAGGCTCTAGCTGTTGTTGAGCTGTCTTGGTCGGCACACCTCTACAATGTTGTGTGGAGATCAGGGGTTGTAACTCCTGATTACCAGACCTGGGTGGTGGTTCCTATCTTCAAGAAAGGGGACCGGAGAGTGTGTTCCAACTATAGGAGGATCACACTCCTCAGCCTCCCCAAGAAAGTCTTGCCAGGGTGCTCGAAAGGAGAGCCCATCCGTTAGTCAAACCTCAGATACAGGAGGAACAATGCAGTTTTTGTCCCGGTCGCAGAACACTGAACCAGCTTCACCCTCTTTAGGATACTTGAGAGGGCATGGGAGATTGCCCAACCAGTCTACATGGGTTTCCCTCGAAGTGTCTTATGGGAGGTGTTCCGGAGTATGGGGTGTCAGGCCATTCGATCATTATTCAACCGTTGCATGAGCTTTTGTCTGCATACTGTTTCTGGTGGGTGTTGGAGTCCACCAGGGCTGCCCTTTATCACACATTCTGTTCATAATTTGGTCCTCAGCTGGAAAAAGGATGGAGTCACCACTCCAGGTCAGGGACAACTTCCTGCCCCAAGCTGAAAGATTTAGGTACATTTAGGTTTATTGTAGGGTCTACCTTACAATTCAAAAGCACCTTGAGGCGACTGTTGTTGTGATTTGGCGTTATATAAATAAAATTGAATTGAACTGAACTGAGTGGTGGTCCACTGGAAAGCCTTGAGGAGGTGGCCGGGGAGAGGGAGGTCTGGCATTCTCTGATTAGGCTGCTGCCCCCATAAGTGGAAGAAAATGGATGGATAGATAGATAGATGGAATTTGCAAGTTAAATGGACTGGTTCATATATAGTAATTTCCTATTCAGAGCTTTATATAATATCACCTGTTGCCCTGTGACAACTGGGATAGGCTCCACCTTCAGTGCAACCCTGATTTATATAAGCAAAAGAGAATACATTGACTTTATCTTTAAACACACTCTCTCTTCTCCTCATATTTTTCACCACTGTCAGAGCAACTTTAATTTTCCTTGCTATTTCCACTTGCTTCATCTTCTACCACATCTTGTTGTAACTATCTGATACACAGACAGACCTCTACAAGAATGTAGCATAGCACAGAAATGATACAAGCTGGTTCAGTTCTCAACCTTTTTGGTGCTAAAGGACATCAGAGGTCATAAAAGATCAAAGCACAGCAGAATAATAGTGAATAGTAGGGCTGGGCCATACCTTTCACGGTAATACCGATATAATGTTAGGCAACGATAAATATCGCAATACAATATGGGTAAAACGCGCATGTGCAGTGCCTTTGTTTTCATACGCACATGGCAGAAAAAGCATAACGACCAAGAATGAGAAGGGCGCTGAATGAAACAGATGAACCAGAATTGGTTTGTTAAAATGGTGCAACTTCAGTGGTGTGGAACTGGTTTGGCTTTTGTCCGCCAGATACACACCAAAGCACAATTTTTGCTAGAGCATGCTAGCGGGCCGTTGTTATTACCTTGTTTTTCGGAAAATAAGTTGCTCTTTAAATCCTTTGATTTTCTGAAAAAATCGACACTGCCCCTTATAATTCTTATGTATGAATTCTGGTTGTGCTTACTGACCTCGAAACGATTTTGTGTGGTACACTGGTGCTCAAAAATTAAAAAAAAAATTTTTTTTAGTATGACTTTGCTAAGCTACGAACCCGCACCGCTTGATGGATTGTCAGAGCATTACGGCTATCGTAGTCAGGAACCTCGCGGAGTGATATTACTGTGCTTCAACATAATATTACCATATTGTGTGTGTGTGTATAACCTCTTTTTAAGTTTTGTGGATATTATACATGGTTATGCTCAGGATATGTCAGCCCATTTTCACTGGAAATGCCTTTTGGTTAAACTGCCAGCAAGGAATCTGTATTTTCACTGTTAAATTTTTATGTAGCTTTAATGCACATAAAAAAACAGCTGCTTGTTTAAGTGAAAATACATTGATGTTTTTTTCTTCTTTTTTTGCACTAATGAATTTGGGAGTTGTAAAGTATTTTGTCTCGCATCAATTATATTGTCAGTTATATTGTTATTGCAAATTTTCAAATGTATATTGTGATAAATATTTTTGGCCATATTGCCCTGCCCTAGTGAATAGTGTAATCAGTCTATCTCTATATATATTTGGAAGTTTAAATATATATATATGTCCAGATCTTTAAATGTTTATGAAACTGTAACCCTAAAATTACAGTACCTTGGTTGGGCCCAATAGAAGTGTATTAAAAATGCATTAGAGTAAATTAGATTAAATGCGTAATGATGTGATATATAAAAATCACTTTTTGTCAGCATTTCTTTAATGTGTTCAAACACAAAACTTAGAGACATATTGATAAAACTGTGAGACTGTACACAGATATCCTTATATTTTATGTTTAAATTTATACTTCATAAATTCATTGTCTGCAGGGTTTATTTAATTACGTCTCACCACACTAATAAGCCACCATAACGATAATCTATAACAACAACAACAACAATAATAATAATGGTTATGGTACAGGAATGGTTATGATAATGGTTATTGTACAAGGCAGAAATGGTTAAGCAAGGACTACTATTAGCACTATTAACTAAAGTTAATATTTGTAGTGCTGAGGGTTGGTTGGAGGTGATGGTCTTAGGCACCTTGGGCCAGCTCTGACTCTGAATAGCTGGCGACAGAATAATAAAGCTAAAACATAATAAATATGATGTTGAATATATAATTCATAATAAAAAAGACTAGCTCACTAAACAACAATGGTGCGGTTTATTTATTTATTTTTATTTTTTTACAGCATTGCCATTGTCTTTCCATTATGCCTTCACTGACACTAACATTGTCTACGTTGACTAATTGACTAACGTTGTAGTTCTCCAGTTCGACCGCAGGAGGCCAGTAAACAACGATTTTAAATACTCGAAGGTCAGCTATTAGTTTCAACTGGAATCTTCTGGCAAGCGGTAGATTGATCTCCAAATCACACAAAAAAGCTATATAGGCTTTGACTAATACATATAAACAATGAATATAATGCTGGAGTCCCACTTTCTAAAGTATGCGATGTCGTAAAAATATTGTAATCATATTTAATGCTCTAAATAATTATATAATAAAAATGTAAAAAAGTAATGGTTGTTTACACGCTATTGTTTAATATAGTTTTATTTTTGTCGTGTTATTTACAGGATAAGAAGTTAATTCGTATTTTACTTAAACAAAAGGAAACGAGCGGAATGTGACGTAGAAGTTTTGAGCAGCAGCTCGTGTAACTCCTGATTAATGACGTCAGGTGTAAATCCATCTCGACGGGTGTTGACTCTCCTCAGGAGGGACGGAGCTGCTAACGTCAAGTAACTTCACGCAGCGGGCTGGCGTCTCATCTACAACCAGGTAATCTGGCATTCAGCATACTGACAGTTGCCCCGTTAAAGAGTCGTGACCGGAGACGGTTTTCTTCTCCACAGCCCTCCGGGTCTTCACTCCTTAACCGTTTCTGTCCGCATCTCTTTTTTTTTTCTTTTTACGAGGTCGTTTCTGTGTCACGAATGGCGACGCTAGCTATAGCCAGCTAACCACTGCTACCCAAACAGACATGCTTTAACTAAACAAACACATCGCTGTCTTTAAGATGACCTCAACGGCTGACAGGAAAACACTCCCTGCCGGCTGTCCTTCATGGGTTTTCTTTCTTTCTTTCTTTTTCGTATTTTTTTTAAATTGCAGAGATGTTGTAGAAATAACGAATGTAACGGCTTATTTTACCGTTCACATCACTCCGCATTGCCTCTCAGTTAGCTAGCTACCCTACCACATGTATTAAATCCAAGCACCAATTTAAATTAACATCGCCGCTGGCTTCCTCTGGCCTCACTTACGTAACTAAGTTATTCATGGTTAGTTGTGCAAGTAGATTTGAGCAGGATTATCCGCTACAGGATTATTAAAAAACACCAGCTAGCTGGCTAGTTGCTTATCTGGGAAAACTGTCGCAATAAGTTGGGAGCAGTTACACTCAGTAAACTTAGATATTTGGTTTGTGGAGGCACCGAAGTTAGTACTTGTTATTGCGATCACGTATAAGTTTTCTTTTCACTTTTGTTTTTTGTTTGCTCTGGACACAAGAAGAATCCAAATTTCAGCCTTAAAAAAAGAAACACATACACACACATACAGACACACATATATGTATATATATTAGTTATAATATAGTTATTTCTTCTCGTTGGTTGTGAAATTACCAGCCTGAGGAAGTGATAGTTAACGTTTGAATCGTTTTTAAAAAAAATGACCATTATCATTGTTTATATCGGTAAATGGGCTGTAGTCAACAGGATTTACAAACGGGTTATATATTTAATTAAAAAAATAGCTGTTATGCAAGTATCTTGCATATGACATTATTTGTATTTTCAGTGTATTCTAAATGATAATCAAACCATCCTTTCAGGCCACTTCAAATGTCTTCATAGAACTACTGTGTTATATTTGTTGTCATTTCTGCTGCCCTGTTGGCAAAATTGCTCTTAACAAAGACGTTTGTAATCTTAATCAGACTTTTAACTCGGATAAGTAAAGGGCATATAAAAGTGACTTTGGCAAAACTGATTGCAGCTTTTATCTTAGAATAGAATAGAATAGAATTCAGCTTTATTGTCATTGCACATGTCGCAAGTACAAGGCAACGAAATGCAGTTTGCATCTATCCAGAAGTGCTTTGGCAATAGATATATTACAAAAATTGGTCTATTATAGGTAGGAGGGCACAAAATATGGGTCTATTATGGGTATGTTACAATGTACACGGTGTGAAGATATGTTATGAATATGCTATAACTATAAGTATGTACAGGCTTGTGACATATTATAGGTTAACAAGTTATTTACAACAGTTTCATTAATGGCTTACAGCATTGTAAGCAGCAGTGTCTTATTTCAGTTCACTGCTAAAGACTGACTTGTTTTTGTAAATTTTAGTGTAGATTTTAATAACAGTGTTGGCTTAATAATAATGTACTCTTTTAACTTGTACATTTTTAATAATAAAAATAATAATAATAATGGTGAATTTTGCTCATATTACAGAGTGTGGCAGATCTCAGGCTTCTCTGGAGGAATCCCTAATTTCAGTCATATCAGGTAAACCTATTAGTAATAGTAGTAGTAGCAGTAGTATTAGCCCTTTATTACAAAGCAAGTTTAACACACCCAGTTTTTTTTTTTTTTCATTCTCTCGATTCAAACATTGGCAATCAGAGTACCGGTAAGAGGTCACAGCTGGTTATCAAGTTGAGTCAGCTTAAAAAGTGGTGCTACTAACAGTATCTGACCAATCACAGTTTTACCTAAGTGTACTTGCTGCAAAACGGCTGACTTTACATAAGAAGATAAAAAAAAAAAAGAAAAATATGAAGGATTAAACACATAACAAAGGCTGAACTGAAAATTAGGCCAAATTAGTGCAAATTTGATACAACTTTAGGAAGTATCAAATATGATCATTAGTGCTCAGAGTACATTAAAACTGTTGTGAAATTGCTTGCAGCCAGCAGGAAAAAAATATCAAAGGTAAAATAATGCTGTTGCTCGTCAAGGAAAATCAAAGACTTTAGACACTTCAACTATCTGTGCACAGATGTCCAAGGGATCTTCTGGGAATGGTGACCTTGTTTTCACTAGAACTCAGCAGTCATTTCATACCTGTTGATCTCTAATCTGCAATTTAGCCTAGTTCAAGGCAGGTTAGGTTTGCAGCATACGTTACCATGGTAAAATACCCTAGTAAGTAAGGCCTGGTATTTCTTGTAAAAAATACCTAAACAGACAAACATACACAAAAAAACACCTTAATACATTGAGAAAAGAGAAATGTCAAACTGACTGAACTACACCAGTGCTAGCATGCAGCCTCAAAATACAGGAGTGTATGTTGTGGCTCTATTAGGGGAGCTTGTTATTGTTGCTGCTTATAAGTGTAGATGCCATTATAGAAATTGATAAATGAGCACATTGGTTAGTCAGCTTTCAGCCCAAAGAAACATCACTGAGTCAGTTAACATAATTGACCTACATTTAATAGGTAGGGTTTGTGGCATATTTAGTATTAGCATTGAGGTTTGTTTCTGACTCAGAAAGAATCATTTGAGGTTTGCTGTGCACATAAGTGTATTTATTTGCTAACGGAAATTAATCTGTGCTATTGATTTGACAGCGACTAGTGTGCATGTATGTTTTTGATAAATGATGTGTTAATAAACAGATATACAATTTTGGTACATTTGAAACCCCAGCTAACAAGACTAACTGGCAAAGGAGAATTTTTCTGCAGTTTAATTTCTTTTGTTATTTTTCTCCTCTGCACTTAGCAAACATCTTCTTTAGCATCATATGCTTTGAACACCTTAATATAACTGAAGAATGTGCTGAAATGATATCAGGAGATCACTGGGACAGGCTCAAAATTTGCACCGCTGGTCTTTAAAGTCAATCTTTATTTATTTTGTGGGCATTTCTGTTTATATCAGTTTGAATAAAAAGGTCTCCCATAGTTTAAAAATATAGGGTAGTGATATTTCAACATCAAAACAAACTGAAGTCTAGAGACATTTCAACACTTTCTTTGGTCGGCGAGGAATGATCTAGTCCACACAAAACTCCTTTGTCTGTATACTCGTCTCTGTGTAGCAGCACCTTTCTTTTCCTCTCCAGATAAGCTCACATATTTAAGAAGTCAGTTCACATTTGACTAAAACAGATGGAGGAAGTTTTTTTCAGTGGGTTTTGTTTGTACTAGATTCCAGTGGTACTTTATGGACTTGCCACCGTTTATGTGAGAATTAAAATATTATAATCAATCTTACACAGACATCTTTGGATCAGAGGTGTTGGCGTGCCAGTGCTGTTTCAAAACGGGCCTACACGATTCGTCCACATTTAGTAGAGGCATAGTATCTGTATAACGTACTTAAAAGAAGTCTCAATTTTGACATTTTTTTTGCCCATTGTTATAAACAGCTTTTTTATTGCAGTCCTATCAGAAGGCTAAAACATGTTTAGCCAGATTTAGGAAAAACCATTACTGTTTTGTAGACATTCCCTCATCAGAAAGACTTCGTTTAGAGTCTTTAAAATTAAGGGGTCTGTTGTATTAACAGTAGTGTAGTCTATTACACATATTTTCAAGTATGTAGAGGTTCATGTATAGATGTGAGAGCCTGCTTCTTTCTGTGTTAGTACTTTCACTTCTCTGACCTAACAGGTGGAAAATGCAAATGATGTGTTTCCTTAGAACAAATTATAGCACCATGCAATAACACAGTCTTTGGTTTTGCTTGTGCCTTGGAGTTGTCATCACTGGACATACATACTTTTAAATCTCCCCCCAAAATTGTTGTTCTTCTCCGAGGCATTTGTTGCACCTTACATTCAGACACCATTTGCATTATTTAAGCAGAGAGAAGAGGTGCTTCCTGCCGAAACCTGAGCACCGGGGAAGGATGGAGGAGCTCACGATTGTATTGCTGTTGAAGTTTTCACACCTAGCAGTTCATTTCATTCTTCATTTAATTCAGGCCTTCCCTGGAATTGCTTTTGCTAAAGGCTTCTTCTTAACTGGTGGCTGTCACTCAGGAGGTGTAGAGCAGGTCATCTGGTAATCGGAAGGTTGGTTCCTGCCAAATATCCTTGGGCATGAATCGGTGAATGTATAAAGCACTTTGAGCGCTCGGAGTAGAAAAGCACTATATAAGAACCAGTCCATTTACCATTCTTTACTGCACTCAAGATCATCCAGGTTTTCACACAGTAATCACACTTACTCTGGTCATCTTATGGTTTTTACTGCTTTATCTTGGTTTATAAGACTGCAATTGAATAATTTGGTTTTAGTTGCAAATGAAATGTAAACCCATCATGATATTGTTTTCATGTTCAAATGAACAGTTTTGCTTTTACTTCTGTTTTATTGCCAGGCAGTATTCCTATAAACCAAGAAAATGTGATTAACACTGCCAGCGTTAAGATGTCTTAAAACCTCTATCTTTCAATTCCCCTGAAACTTATGGTACAGTATGTGCAGACTGACATCAGCAGTTACATCAGCTCCTTCATTAGCCTCTCTGACTGTTGATGGAACATTTTATGACTGTGTCAGAGAGTAATGAGCCAGGGGACTCAAACTGTGCTCATTTTTTATTCCTCACAGGGGGGGAAGTCAACCTGTCGAGTTGTGAGTGGAGCTCACGTGTCCGACCCATTTGCTAGTTCAGACATCCGGCCAGTATGTCCAGCGATCCTCCCCCTCCGTACCCCGGAGGTCCCAGTGCGCCCCTCATCCAGGAGAAAAATGGACAACCTGGTAATAAAGCTGAACACACAGGATTGTGAATGTTACAGTAGTGGTACTGGTGGTGACATATGTTCTACATTCAGTGTGAGTGATTCGGTAAACTTCCTCAGTTCAAGAGGAAGTACATCTGCGGCCGTTTTAACTGTTGAAAAAAATTGTAATTTGCTCATTTTAAATCCAGTCTGATTTGAATAATTTAGTCAAAATTTACCTTTTGTAATATCAGTCTGACTCTGTTCTAAATTATTACAGCTTGGTCTCATTATGGAGCCTACCTACTCTGATATACTAACCAATGAAAAAGAGAAGTTCTTGAGTGCATTGAGATAATTCAAAAGCAGTTTGACCACTTCCCTACAGTTGATGTGAGAAATTTGGGCACTCACTGAGCTTGAGAGACTTCATTGTAATATTTGCTAGATTGATGAAGAACAGTAAATGTAAATCACAGCAAATAATGGTCTCAATTTTGAAAGCTTCATAGATGACCAGTGAAGTGAACACCCATGTTGTCATGCACTTGCAGCCGTGTACTACTGCAGTTATTTATTTCAGACCACAAACTTCAGTTTGTTGTGTCAGACTTGTGCGGGGCTATCTCCAGTGCCATCTTTTTAATGTGTGCTGTATTTCAGAAGCGGTAAGGACTGGTCCTCCACAGGGACAACCCCTACCTCCAGACTATGGTCCACCACCCTATGAGGCCACACAGCCAGGCTTCCTACCACCACATGTCCCTGGGGAAGGGCCCATGCCAATGCCCATGCCTATGCCTCCACCACCACAAGGTGCGACAGACTATCTGCATATATAGATAAGGAAATGAAGCATCATACTCCCACAACACACACACACACACACACACACACTTACACACTTACACTTCAGCTTGTTAACTTTCATTACTTGAAAATAGTTTATCTGGCTTCAGTTTAGTTTGGTAGAAGCCAGAAAATTGAATTAATAATGTGGAAATGTAAAAGAGCTAAAAAGAGTATTTTATTGCTCACTGGCTTGTAAATCTATTTTTCCTTTTGGCTCACGTCACTGTTGAGGCTATGGTTCATTTTCTTAAATATCATGACTGCTGTTCTTGTGCTCGCCCACTCTCATTGGTTTGTCTAAATGCAGGTGGCCACTACCCACCACCACCTGGTCACTTTCCTCAACCGATGCCAGGACAGATGGGCCCGGGTCCTGGTCACTTTGTCCACATGGGAGGTCACACAGCGACCGTCCTGGCTCCTCCAGGAGCAGCCACCACTGTGACCGTTCTGCAGGGTGAAATGTTTCAGACTTCACCAGTGCAGACTGTGTGTCCGCACTGTCAGCAGGCTATCGTCACCCGCATCTCCCACGACATCGGCCTCATGAACACACTCTTCTGCCTCTTCTGCTTCTTTGTAGGGTAAGTAGGTCCTGGAAAAGACATCTGGTGGTGGGTTTTCGCTGTTTTTACACATGAGTAATGCCTAAAAGTGACAGTAGTTTTAAATACACAGAACTAGAGCTGGATGATAAATTATTTTAAGAAAATCTGCAAGAATCATATATCTGACAATATAAAACGGTCATTATCACAGAATACTGATTGTTGTTATATTGCTACATTTCCATTGAGCTAATTTACTTGATGAGACACTTTCTAATTCAAAGTTTCACTTTATTGACACTAGATGCATTAAGTAGTCTAGGTAGTGTTTTGGAAAGTCGAGTAAACGTATAAAATAATTGCTTAACACTTCAACAAAACTAAAGTAACTTGACCATTTAACTTGTCAGGAGACTGCAGAATATTGTACATAATATATGTGTGACATATTTTTCAGCACATAATAACGCTGAAAAATATGTCACACAAAGGTCACACATCACCAGCTGCTAGTATCTCATTCTGGCCTGGTTATGCTCATTGGTGGGAGGTTGTTTTTTTTGTTTTTGTTTTTTTGACTCAAATAGTAAAAAAGTTGTTTCCAGCTTTAGCTAGATTAACTATTACTAGTTTTCAGAATGCTTTGCATTTGTTGGAAGTTGTTGAAGTAGCTCCCTTATTGGATACTAAATTGTCACTGGAGTCTCACATGTGCTCTTGCTCTCAGACACGCCCAGGTTTGTCCATAGTTGAGCATGTTAGGGAATGTGAAAGAATTCACTTTTATTCATATAGCAGCAAATACTCATAGCACTTTTATTCTAAGGTAAAGATCCCACAACAATAGAGAAAAAAAACCAACAATCAGACAACCCCCCCCCCCCATGAGCAAACACTTGTCAGCAGTGGGAAGGAAAAACTTCCTTTTAACAGGAAAAAACCTCTGGCATACCCAGACTCAAGGAGGGGCAGCTACCTGCCACGACTGGTTGGAGGTTCTGTCAGGTTTCTTTTAAAAGGGAGCTGTTTTTACTTTCCACATTCACCACAGTGAAGGCTGTCGTTTGATTATTGTAGGGACTTTACCTTCCAATATAAAACTTATTTTTCATGCTTCTGTGTTGCCATGTTCTTGACCCAGTGACTGTTTTGTGAGAGCTTAATGTACGTAACGTGTACAATCATGAGCAGGTGTTTGATTTTTGCTTCATCTTCTGTCTGTCTGCTCCTCGTTCACAGCTGTGATCTCGGCTGCTGCTTGATTCCCTGTATGATTGATGACCTCAAGGATGTGACACACACCTGCCCTTACTGTAAGGGCTACATTTATACATACAAGCGTATATGCTAACCACGGACAGCTGGATGCCACAGAGACAAGTACATGCACACACATAAACCCACAGTGCCCCCTGCTGGTAGTGACAGGCTTCTCCCCCCCCCCCCTCTACATTTTTGCAAAGTGTTGTGTAGCCCTCTTAAATTGTAAGTGAAGTTTTCTAATTAGTTCACAACATATTTCCTGTATATACCGTTCAGCATACTTCTCTCATGCATTTGAAATGTACAGTTCTCTGACTTAAGCGCAGCAGGTGAAGGCGCTCAGAGGCACACAGGTAAATTTGTGATGTTTCGCATGTGAATAAAAAAAGGAAAAAAAAACAAAACAAAAAACTGCCTCTGTTAGAGAACGCTGTGAAAATGTCACTTTATTTGAATTCATCTGTGAATTTTGCTCTATAGCAGGGGTAGGCAACCTTTCTGATGACGAGTGCTATGTAAAATTTCCTCAGAAGTCAGTGTGCCATATGATTGCATTAGCAATAAATTTAATAACGCTCTATATTAACAGTTACACACTATATAGAACCACTTGTTCTATATTTATTCGCAGATGTTGGCAGCTATCAGCGAATAGTTATCAGCTATTTTGAAACAGAAAAAGACACTTTTTATCCATAACAGCAAATGAACTGTACAACAGAAAATACAAATGCTATTTATGGTCTCCTCACAACAATGATAAGAAAAATAAACTGAGACAATGTGGCATCTTTTTTAATACAGAGATACACATGTTAAAGTGATCTTTGGTCTCCCACTCAGATACAAAGGTCTCTGAGTGTCCAGCATTCAGACGGCTACCTGAGGACACTCTTCGTGTGGGAGAAAACCGGCTCACACAGATATGTAGAGCCAAATACTGTCAATAAGGCCTCTGCAATGTTCTGAAGACAGTTAAACTTGTCAGGTAGTGATGTCCAGCAGGTGAAAATGCAAGCTCCATGAACACACACAGCTGTGGATTCCAGCTGCTTCGATGTCGCATTAACTGGCATTAACTCAGCCAGTTAATGCAAGACAAATCTAGCTGCTCATTAAAGCTTTCTGGTTTGATCAGAAAATAAAACATTGGTCTATAAACCTGAAAGTCCCAAAAATGCATTGTGAATTCTGTCTCGAGTCTACGGATGTATCCGTGTATCTCCGTGGTGCTGATGCTGTGCTGAGCGGAAAGCTGCTGAAGCTTTTGAAGTGTCGGAATGTGGAAAGCTAACAACGTCCCTCTCACCAATAGGCTAAGGTCTCAGGAATTCGCATGATAAGGTGGGGCCAGGTTTCACAATGAACTCACCCGAAACTCTGGCTGATTGGGACCCACACCCAGTTTCACACCTTGGCTCAGGCGATTAGAGGATCATCAGGGGGTCCTTTTGTCCCTCTGTGGGGGGATACTCCCACTAGGTTTATATCTGGGACTCTCCACCATTTGACCTTAGAACTGAAGAAGCTTCTCGGATGAGAGGTGAAACGTCTTCAAGTAACTTAAAGAAGTCCAGACGCTTTTCTTTGCAAGCTCCTTTGACTTTACATCAGATAAAAACTTTGGTTGTAAGATTCAGATAATTATTTAATAACACCAAGACATTTTAAATGAGAATAAGAAAGAAAAGTATTTCTTTGTGCCCCCCTTTCCCTGTTAATGCCCTACATGGCCCCCTGGCAACACTTTGCTAGACCCGCCCCTGCACAGTTACCAGCTGTCAGCTACCTAAAAAAGGATCCTGGTGTTATTTGTCTCTCAGAAACAGTTCATAACTTCAACTCATTCATGTCACCTAAAAGGTAAACCTGTTTCTCCATCACCTGTTCAGCTCTGATGATTCAGTAAGGACATCTCCTGGTTTCATCTTCATGTTTCCCTCTCACCACATATCCAAACCGACATCATGACCAGCAGCTTTACAGCTGTGGCTCCAGCAAACATCAGCTGATACTAGAAATTAATATTAAATAAATTCTAACAACAGCTGATCAAGCTTAAACGTGCTGCTGTTGTTTAACGCGACATCCGCTGGTTTCCTCTTTCTGGCGCAAAGTGGGCGATAAACAAACAAGAGAGAAAAGCCGATCAGCTGATCATTGATCAGTTTCATGATTGAAGTAGAAACAGGAGAGGGAGGGGAGAGAATGAGAGAAGAAGAGGCAGCTGTGCAGCAAAGACACAGAGTAACTCCAGCTTTGTGTCTTTTTCATTGTAGCTGAAGTCCGGGACAAACTGTTCCTTTTCAGCTCAATACGAAACGCGTAATATTTTCTCTGAATACGAGACGATTCCGTTTTTTACGGGACGGTTGGCAACTCTACTAACTAACCTTGTGAATAAAATAAAGTTCAACATCAGTAACATCAAAACAACCACCCAGCTGTATAGAAACTGTCATGCTAGGTAGCACGCAGCTATTGTAACTGACTGTAAAAAGTCAGCTTAACTAAAATAAACTCCACCTAAACTTGTTTTATATCTGACCCAGACAGACTGCAGGTCATAACTTCTTACCTGAAGTTCAGTTCAACTGACGCTCGGACCGGCGGCTGCCTCGGGTCTCTCCTCTTGCCTCCCCTTTCTCTCATCCACCTGCTGGCCTCCACCACTTGCTAATGTTACTGAATCTGTGGAAGGTCCGCCATAGCCACCACCAAATAACTGAGTTGTTTTTAAACACTGGCCAGCATCTGGCCAATCCACCACCTTTCATTGTTGTACTGTAACAAAAAAATAAAATAAAATAAAAAACTGATGGCACGACCAGCTATGGTTGTGCCATCAGTTAACCCTTCCTAGGGTTGCCGACCCCTGCTCTATAGCAAGTGTATTCCAACATGGGTTAATTTTTAACTTTGATGTCAGATATTTAATTCATTATTTTAATATTTAGAACTGAACTTTTATTTTCCTTTGTCTGGTTATTTTGTTCCAGCAGGTCTAGTGCTTTTAATCATCGATCCCTTTTGAATGTGAGCAAAATGAACCATTTATAATATTTAGCTACTAAATCTACTTGTTGGGAAAGTCCCAAGATTTATGTTAACCTGCTATATTTTGTTATTAATTTGGGCTGTAGTCACAAAATGTCCTGTGACTTACTGTTGAGCTAATGCTCATCAGTGCCCTCTGTCTGTAAAGGTGTTTTATTTTGATGATTGAGTCATTATTTGCACTTTAAGTTAAAGTTCACCTTTGCCCCTCAGATGCATCATTTGTCTAGGGGGGAAAAAAAAGTGCGACCACCTATGCATCATTTGGTTTTTACTTTGGTTTGCTGTTAGCTGAGTGAATCCCACCATGGTTGCACCTTTTCAGAATTTAGTAGATGGAAGTAGAGCTGACAGACTTAGGGCTCGACTGTTACTGATGGACGAACACTTCACAACATCTCAGTAGTGATTTGTCCTGTCGCTGGCCAAATGCTGAGTCTGAGTCGTTTAAGATGATTTTCAAAATAGTTATTTCAAAACAAACAGAAAATTGTTACTAGTGGCACAGTGTGTTATATTTGTTCTGTTAAGTGTTCTGTTATAACGTTAATTTATTTTGAAAAGTCATTCCAAGTCACTCTCACTGATGAGAGGTGCTAACATGTATAATTTAACGTACAGCACTATCATTACAGTGGTGGGACCATCTTCCCACAGAGTCCCTGACTTAGCGTTAGCCTTTCCCGATGACTTGCATTGCTCAGAGGCATGTTAAAAAAACAATTACAGATACTAAATAGTGAGCTCTTTGCTAGGAAAAAGCTTTAAATAACAAATTAACTCCAACATTGCGATCCTACTGAATTTAACACCAACAGATACTGTTCCACCATCAGCATGCTGGATGTCTCATGCACCAAGCGCAGAGTTTGTCTGCACGAGTCACACATTGAAACAAGTCATTCTCACTGGCAAGTTCCTGACTCTATGTGCATTTGTTTTTGTTTTCCTTGAGGCTAACGGAGCTCTGCAAGAAAATCAATATGAAATGAAGGATTGCATTGAAATATTAATACGGTGTAACGCACACCATTGTTGTGGATTTTGGTGGTCTGCATTGCTCTAAATGTCTGTGAAATGTATAACTATGTAAGTCAAAGATTTGTTTGACTGTTGTATACAGCTACTATTTTATCAATAAAAGTCATGAAGGAAACTCAATTTTGAAATTGTGAAAGTGGATATTTTATTTAAATATTAAATGTAAAGCAAAAAAATAAATGTTTCTCAGCTGTGCTTGTGAATGAAGCTGAAAAACACAGCTATAGGTGAAAAAGTGTCAATCTCTCCATCGATGTCCGCACTGAGCGTTGCAGCATTTGTAGAACGTGGTCATCGGTTCGTCTGCTGATCTGGTCTGAATCTGCATGAAGTATGCTCGAGGATGCTCGCACTTCGGGCACGTTTCTGTAAATGGACAAGTGCATCATGTCAGTGTGGAATCACTAATACTTTTGGGATTGGCTCATTTAATTTAATTCCATTCAACCATGCAGTATATAGAAAAATGCACGGAGTAGCATCACTGATACAGGATGTTCCTAATTTTGACAAAGATGCACTTATAAGAAAGTTAAAGCACCCATCCTGCCAGGTTTCTCAAACTAGCACCTGGAGGCCAAAGTAATGTCATCCAGAGTGCAAATACAATAACTTCAGTTTTTCTTAAGTAAAAAAATTACACATTATCGAGGTCTCTTATTAGCCTGTAGTATGTAATTTGTGTTAAATAAATATGAAATCTGGTCTTTATTTAGAAATAATGCTCTTTAGTAACCAATTGAAGGAATTTGACTCGTAATGGACTTTAATTCTTTCAATTTCTTGCCCGTGTTGCCATTCACAGGAAAAAAACAACCTGCAGAAAGGTTGTTGTTTACGTCCTACCCTGAAGGGGGTGCAATCCGGCAATGTAATGATGCAAAGACAAACTTTTTCTCACACTTAACAACCCCATATTAATTTTAGCTCTTCCATCCCTGGTATCCATTATAATAGACTAAACCTTCCTAAATTAACAAAGACAGCAGCGGTCAAGAAGTATAAAAGCCACCTCACTAATGATTAAAACAAACAAGCCAACACAAAATGAAATGTACGAAAATGCCATATAAATTACCATCCTCTGAAAAGACAAACACAAACATAGACAGACACACACTGTAATTAAAAGTTTGTATAAAATGCATTTTTACTCAGTGGAGGTCTCTAGCATATGCTGGCTCCCTAAAATGTGACTCAGTCATCATATCATTGACAAACTCCACCTGGTTATCAGGAATTAGAAAAATATATCTAGTTCCAGAGAATTTATGGAGAAGACTTTCACGTTGATGTCATCAAGGGTGGACCAAAAAAAAAAAAAAAAAAAAGACATTCTATTCTTTATAATATGAAGTGTTGGTCTCCAAGCTGGATAGTTAAAAAGCTACAGTTGTCTTTCTTAGAGCTTTAATCTATCTGTAGAGTTATGTTTTTATTGGGCTGGGATATTGCAACAGCCCAATTTGTTTTTCAGTCATTCTGTTGTCATTTGGTGGTGTGCTTGTGGTCATTGTGCTGTTGAATGATGCAATTTTAACCATCTGTCAGATAGACAGCCTCACATTTAACTCTAGAATATTTATATACAGAGGAGTTTCTGTTTGACACAGTGACAACATTGTGCCCAAACGTTAAGGTAGCAGCAGCTGGCAGGGACTCACCCTCTTAATTAAGAATGTACTTTGTTTTTCACAGTATTGCACATGAAAACTCTGTTTTTCACATGACTGTTAACTTGAGCTACACATTTGACAGTCCATATTGACAGTGTTAATAGATATTTACCCTAAAATAACGAAAAACTGAAGGACCTAGCTCAAGTGGTTTTCTAAATAATTACATTTTTAAATGGCACAACAAAATACATCCCTACTGTCATCCATGGGAATACTTGGATGCCAACAACAGTTCAGAAGTGCATATTTCCCCTCAGTGTATTAAAGGAAAAGCTGTCCATGGTCAGGTGGGAAGTTTTTGTTTCAATCTGATAAATTGAGTTGATCCAAACACACGCTTGCTCACACACATCACGGGTAAGAAGTGGAAGAAGATGGATGGCTGGCTGGATAACTTTGTTTTAAAAAGTGCTTCTTTTAAAGAGTTTCATTTTGACATGAAAGTGTGTTAAGAGTTTTGACCCCACAATACTTGTTGTCAGCAATCACATTGAGCTAATAAGCCTGTATCCAGTTGTCAAAAACTGTACTACAAACCACTCAAAGGCACTGCAGACATTGGTGTTTCGAGCAGGAATGCGGGACGATAGACACAACTTAACTCTCAAACTAATTAAAAAAACAACAACATCAATATTTCTTCAACCAGTTAATTTTGCGATTATAAACAGATACATAGACCACACCATAAACTATTTTGATGACACTCACCAGGTGTTGAGTCCACGTTTTCCCACGCAGCAGCTCCACCCAGAACATCATCCACCTCCTTTAACTTCGGATACTTCCTGTTATTTACCTACAGGGGTTTAAACAGATAAGGTGAGGCTCTCAGAAGCCACGCTAACCTTAATGTAAGATGTGATACATTATATGTGAAATATTTCGTCGTTACTCACCTTTCGTGTGATGTTATGTACGTAGGGACAGGTGTTACACGCGAATCTCATGCACTTCTGCCCTTCCTCGACGATTAACACGTTCCCGCAGGTTGGACAGAAAAGAAGCATGTTAGCACGTACTTAAAAAACAAAACCCTGTTAGATTTTGAACTATTAAACAACACTAGCACTCTATGAACTCAGCTGTAAACACTGCTGCGTGTGGAGCACCGGAAGAGAAGGAGAGAAAATGAGATGCACCCATATTGAGAGTTCGGTGAGAAACAAAGGCTTATTAAGCGGAACCATGTTTTCTGAGCCCCATTTCCTCGCCCGGTTATTATTGGTGACGGACGCACTTACTTCCACTGGCTTCCAGTTAAATTAGTTTCCATTAAAAAGTATATTTTCCCCAAAGTTATAAATTAAGTCGACAAACTGCCTGTTAAACTGCCTGTTAAGCTGCTTGTCTGTTGAGTAAATTTAGCAGCTGGCGGTGATGGAGGAGGAGCAGAGAGCGGGTACCGCTGCTGCTGGAGCTGCAGAAGGAGGACAATCAGTGAAGGATGAAGAAGAGGTAAAAGAGGAAGATGTGACACATACAGCAACTCAAGGCGAAGAGGAGGAAGATGAGGACGCTCTTCCTCATTCAGAAATCTTGGATATTTTCGAGGAAGGACTTGCTCGACTCGTGCAGGATCCTTTGCTCTGTGACCTGCCGATTCAGGTGCTCCGTACACTACATGAACATGCGCATGTGCATCGCATACATACAGACAAGAGATTTGCATTTATGGTCAAAAGAGACATCACCTCATATAATGACTTATTACAAAGCCATTGGTATACACTCACCGGCCACTCCTAGTATCCTGATCCATCATAAAGGTGCTATGTTGGACTGAGATCCTGTGCCTGTCACAGACACCAGACTGAGATCTGGTGTCTGTGAATTCATTGTTGTGTTAAAGAAACCAACTTGAGATGTTTTGAGCTTTGTAACATGCTGTTATCTTGCTGGAAGCAGCCTTCAGATGATGGCTACATGTGGTCATAAAGAGTTGGACATTGTCAGCAATAGTAGGGGGTATATATAGGCTGTTGGGTTTAATCGACTCTCGGCTGGTACTAAACATCCCAAAGTGTGCAAAGAAAATATCCCCACATTGCAACAGAAATCAAGACAGCAGAAATCAAGACACATCAGACCAGGCAACATTTTCCCAATCTACTATTATTCAGTTTTAGTGAGTGTGTGAATTTTAGCCTTCCTGGTTTTAGGTGACAGGAGTGTCGCCCCCCCAGTGTGGTCTTCTGCTGTTGTAGGATGCCTGCTTCAGAGTTTGATGTGTTGCATGTTCAAAGATGCTCTTCTGATACCTTGTTTATAACAAACGGTTGTTGGAGTTACTGAAGCATTCTGGCTATTCTTATCTGACCTCTGGCTTCATCAAATCACTGGTTCTCACGTAGAGAACTGACGCTCGCCGGATATTTTCTCTTTTTCTCTGTAAACACTGGAGATAGTTGTATGGTAAAATCCAAGTAGATCAGCACTTTCTGAAATACTCAAACCAGCCAACATGCTGCTGTAAAAGTAACTTTTCTTCATCCTTTTGATTCTTGGTTTGATCTTCAGCGTGACATCGGGACGATGCCTAATTGCTACCGTGGCTGTTTAAGTATCTGTAGAAGTTGAAAAGGCTTGTCTTCCAAATTTTCCAGTGAGTGTATAAAGACGCTAGTGTCTGGTTTTGTCTGATTGGTGTTTCAATCTTAAACACGCATGCTTAACTAGCAAAAATGCCGTAACAACCTGTTGTTCAACACTGTAGGTTCAGGTTCAGGTTTATTCATTTATATAGCACATTTACAAACAACAGGGTTGATCAAAGTGCTTAACAATCGGCAAAAAAACAGCAAGAGATTAATGTGAAATGAATGTGAAATATTTATTTTGGTCAACAACAACAACAGATTATCATTTACACAAAGTACTCAATCAAACAGTAACCCAAAAAGGAATAGGCTGAAGCCTTGTGGCTTATAATTATCCTATCCTTTACCCCCATAGGAATAATCAAATCCTTAACCTAGAAAATAAATAGTGTTGATAAATAAGTTATATAACAGTTTGAAAAGAAATCAATGATAAATCAAGAAATTAAATCATCAAACCAAATTTCTATAACCTTGTATGATACAAATGTTTAAATTCTTCCTGAAAAATGACAAAGAAAAACACATCTTCAGTTCATCATTAGGTCCATTCTATAATTTCACTCCCATAACTGACACACATCTATACTTAACACTGGTTCTCACTTTAGGTATTTCAAACACATAAGACCACCTCAAATCACATTTTCCATCTCTTAGTTTAAACATACTTAAAATACAAATTGGAACATTCTTTTTCATCACTTGATATATCATTTCTAAAGTTTTAGAATATATAATGTCCATGAATTTTAACATAGATGATCCTACAAAAAACTGGTTGATGGACTCCCTATATCCAACTTTATTTATTATTCTAATAGCTCTTTTTTGCAATTTAAAAATTTAATCCAAATATGTTTTGTATGTGTTCCCCCAAATTTCCGCACAATAGGTCATAAAAGGCAAACAAAGGGAAGTATACAATAAATAAAGGCAGTTCTTATTCAAAGAATCTCTTGTTTTATAAAGAATAGAAATAGACTTGGATAATTTCCGTTTCACATGTTCTATGTGGGGCTTCCAACAAAGTTTATCATCAATAATTACTCCTAAAAATTTTGTCTCATATACTCTTTCAATTTCAACATTATTTAAATTCAATTTTACTTTAATATTACTTTTGCTTCCTCCAAATAACATAAATTTTGTTTTACTTTCATTCAATGATAGTTTATTAAATACAAACCATCTAATTAACTTCATGAGTTCTTTTCCACTGTTTTCAGTCATTTCTTTATGTCCTTTCCAGAACAAAATAAGTTAGTGTCATCAGCAAATATCACATATTTTAAAGTATCACTGGCTGTACAAATATCATTTATATAAAGTAAAAATAACTTAGGTTCCAAAACAGATCCTTGCGGAACTCCACAAGTTACTTTTCTAAGCTTAGATTTCATGTTATTAATACTCACATATTGGAATCTATTGTTCAAGTAACTATTTAACCAAAATTGTATAACACCTCTGAAACCATACCTTTCACGCTTCTGTAAAAGTAAAGAATGATCTATTGTATCGAAGGCTTTACATAAATTAAGAGTTAACAAACAAACACACCAACAAATATCAAGGGTGAAAGACATAAAACAGGCCCGATGATAGTTAAAACTAATTTGATCCAAAAGCCAAAGTAAAAAAATGAGTTTTAAGACGTGATTTAAAAGAATGTATAGACTCAGAAGTGCGAATAGAAGCACGGAGACTATTCCAGAGTCTAGGTGCTGCAATTGCAAAGGCCTGATCACCTCTGGACTTCAGCTGGGATCTAGGTTGTTCTATGAGCATCTGGCAAGATGATCTTAGTACCCTCCTGGGGTTATACAAGCGGAGGAGTTCGGTCAGGTAACTGGGTGCCAAATTGTTTAAAATTTTAAAAGTAAGCAAAAGAATTTTAAAATCTATACGGTTTTTGACAGGCAGCCAGTGCAAATTAGCTCGAACTGGGGTGATATGATCATACTTTCTAGTACCTGTTAGAAAGCGTGCAGCAGCATTTTGAACTAACTGCAAGCGGTAGAGGGAGGATTGTTGGAGGCCCAGGTATAGAGAGTTACAATAGTCCAGTCTAGAGGTGATAAATGCATGAATACGTTTTTCAAGTACTTTTAAAGGAATATAGGGCTTCGCCTTTGATATTAAACACAACTGATAAAAGCTAGTTTTTACCACTGAGGACACTTGCTTCTCCAATTTAAGAGAGCTATCCAAAAACACTCCAAGGTTTCTTACCGTGCGAGATAGATGGCTGGCAAGAGGACCAAGGGTGTCTGTTAACTGACCCAGAGGGGTATGACTATCAAAGACAATTACTTCAGTTTTATTTTCATTCAGAGTGAGAAAGTTTTGTGATAGCCAAACTTTAACATCACGAAGACAGCTGAACGAAGGTTGTAGTGGGTCAGCGACATCCAAGTTCAGGGGGAAGTAAATTTGGAAGTCGTCGGCATAGCAGTATTTTATAGGGGTCTGATCAGTGAATAATAATAAAAATAATAATAATGATACAGAACAAAATGCAATAAAAATAAATGTAAAAAAGATTAAAAATCACAGGCTGAAGTGGAACATCGCAGCATTTCCAGTTGTTCTCAGGACCTGCAGCAGACTCTTCAAGCTGCTTGCGCAATAAAAAGCCTAACAATGCCTCCTCTCTTGCACTTTGAAACAAAGAGCAGATTCCTGCAAGGGGACTTTATTTTTCCCAAAAGTTGGAAATTTCCTGTGTTACATGTGCCAAAACAAAATCCTAAGGGCATGAAAATCTAATTCAGTTATGTAAGGCCAGACACAGAAACTAATTTGCCTACAGTCTAAAAATACAAGATGAGATGACATACAGGGTGAGACTGAACACATCCACATTTTCACTGACATCGAACAAAAGCTTCAACAGTGTGAAAAGAAACTTGTGCTTCGGCTGATGTTTTTTACTCAGGTACTTCGTTTCTCTCTTTTCCACTCCTTTCCACCTTTTGTATCCCTCTGTACACTTTGACTGAACAACTGCTCGCAATAACATCCTTGGTAGAGCAGACTCCTCACAGCAGAGCAAAAGGACTCAGTCCACTGGGAAATGTCTCCAACTGATGTCATAAAAGCCCAAGACCAGCATAAATTGGTTAATTTTTAATGCAATTTTTTTTTTTACATTATTTGGGGGCTTCTCATTGTCATTATGTTATGCAGTGACGAAGAGACAGGAAAGCAGAGAGCCGGTGAGCGTAGGAAGACATGCAGCTAAGGGCTGTGTTGGAGTCTGACCTCTGCCTCTGCATTCAATCTTGCAGATTACCTGTTGGACCTGTTACCTGCACCAGCTAAACTGGTGCTGCATAGATTGCTTTTTTTATTTTGTCTAAATGAAAAACCTCAAAAATTAATTTCCATATTATATAGGCTCAAAGAACTAGGAAGCGGCTAAAAAGAAAACCGTTCGGCTTTTGCTCTTAGAAGTATGACTCAAAAATAAATTAAATAGATCAAAACATTAAGTATAAGCGAAACTAAAACTAAACTATGAACATCCAGGAACTCCCTGCATGTTTTTGAGACCAAGTGAATTTATGTGCTGACAAAAAAATGAAAAAATATTTATCTTCAGGTGACTCTGGAGGAGGTCAACTCTCAGATTGCTTTGGAGTACGGCCAGGCGATGACTGTAAGAGTCTTGAAAGCAGACGGTGAAGTGATGCGTAAGTGCTGAAGCGGCCTTGTTTTCCGTTTACATGCTTTTTAAATTCGCAAAGCCTTTTATACTCTTCTGATTAAAAAAAATCAGAAAAATCCAAAACATACAAACTGCTTTTTTTTCCTCATAGCGATTGTGGTGGTGCAAAATGCTACGGTTCTTGATCTGAAGAAGGCTATTCGCAGATTTTTGGAGCTAAAACAGCAACGTGAAGGCGGCGTGAAACACATCAGCTGGTAAACACACTCACAAACACAAGAATGAAAAAGGGCATGTTTAAAAAAAATCTTATTTTTACTCTTTCCCTGTGTTCTGTGTTTCCAGGAGATATGTTTGGAGGACGTATCATTTAGTATTTCAGGGCGAGAAGCTCGAAGATGACAAGATGAGGCTTAAAGAGTAAGTGTATCAAGTTAGCACTTTATTTAACAGTGTTGATAACGCTTATTATCCATTCACCCCCTCCCTTTCTTTTTTCATTTGTGTATATCTTCAGCTATGGGATCAGGAACAGAGATGAAGTGACGTTCATGAAGAGACTCAGGAAAAAGTGAACCACGAAAAACACTGTTTGCTGCAGTCCTCGTGTGTGCTCGTGCTCACAGCGTTTTATTCTTAAAATAACTTTAAAAAAAAAAGTTGTTGTAGTTTTTTAGCCTCTCAAAGAGGCTTCATGTAAATAAAATATTTATAAGTTGTCTCTTTTGTTTCCAGTGTGCAGTTTTGCTTTAAAGAAGCCAGACTTTCTTGTACTTCTTAAAGTCATTATAGTTCTTCAGGTTTTCTAAAGGTATTTGTTTGCCTTTGGACACTGGATGCTTTCTTACTTACTTTCATTCCAGTCCTTGTACCTTTGAGCTATGAAGCATTCAAGCACAAACAAGACACCTAACCCAAAGTATGAACCAGCGTTGTATCTACACACTTCAGACATCCAAGCAAAGAACCACTTGAATGTGATATTTAGGCACTTTGTTACTGGCAACCTGTCACAAAACACATGATATGTTCCACTTTCTTATTTAGAGTCTGCAGAATGGTCAGATAAGTTTCACAGGCATAAATAGTATTTTGTGAATGAAGGTGATTTCCAAAGAGCTACTAGCCAAAACCTTTGCATATCTCACCGTGGTGTGCAGCATGTCCTTAAAAAACATTAGTGGAGGCCAAAAGAAGAAATGCAGCAGGTAAACATAATCTGAAAAAAAAAATGCAAATACAAATCCAGCAAAGACCTGACTCAGGACCTGAGAGATACATTTGGCCCTTCAGTCGGTCCATAATATGGTTGCTGAAGCAGGGTGGCTGTCGAAGAGTCATTCTTGAGGAAGGGGGACCAGAAGAAAAGGCTGAGGTATGCAAATTTCCACAAGAATTCTACTTAAAGTCAGTGGAAACAGTGCTTTTATAGAGTGATGAATGCATATTTGAAAGTTTTGGTTCAAACCATCTTAAGTGTGTACAGAGGAGGTCAAGAGAGAAGTAGAAGAGTGAGTCTCTACAAACATCTATAAAGCAGGGTTATATTTTGGGCTCCATTTAATCGAGTGTTGTTGGGAATCCTGTCAAAACGGATGGAATAAAGAAATAAATGGTAAATGGCCTATACTTGTATAGCGCTTTGCTAGTCCCTAAGGACTCACACACTGGTGATGGCAAGCTACATTGTAGCCACAGCCACCCTGGGGCGCACTGACAGAGGCGAGGCTGCCGGACACTGGCGCCACCGAGCCCTCTGACCACCACCAGTAGGCAACGGGTGAAGTGTCTTGCCCAAAGACACAACGACCGAGACTGTCCAAGCTTGAACTGGCAACCTTCCTATTACAAGGCGAACTCCCAACTCTTGAGCCACGATCGCCCCAAACTTACCACCAAACTTTGACCTACCATTCAATACCAAGAGGAAAGCAACTGATTGGCAATGGCTTCATTTTTCAGCATGGTATGCTTTTCCTGCCGGTGCATTAAAAATAAAAACACACTGGCACATTGTCAGCTATGGACTGGCCTCCCTAGAGCCCACACCTCAACATTACTGAAGCAGTGTGTGATCAGAGCTTTAAATGTCCTTTAAAATCCTGGAGAACTATTCCTGAAAAGCTTGCATAAGAGAGTTCAGAATGTGTTGAAGAATAAAGAGGCCAACCAACTATTGGCTTTCAAGCTTGTTAAAATTGTACAGAATAGTTTTTACATTGCAAACTGTGTTTGTGCACGTGTGTAAATCCCCATATTCTTAGCAAAAGATAAAAAGATGGGGTCTAGAGACTTTTGCATACCTGTGCAATAACATAGCTGTTTTCCTAGGCTTGCATATAAGGTTATAACCATAACCTGATGATTTGAATATTCCCTGAGAACAGTTTGCTGTTGTTGAACCAGTACCAGTGTTACAGGATATACACGATACGGCAGGAACAGAAGAAGGTAAAGCAGATATCTTCTATTAAATAATGGTGAAATAGATTTTTATGAGGTTATAAGTTGAGATGTTAGATAAATGTTACAGCGGAGCATCAGTGCAGTTGGATACTTATTTGAACTTGTTTTATATACGATTGATCAGACGATTACACGCAATCATCAGTGTCCGTGTCTCTTTCTGTTTTATAGATCTTTTGCTTGTTTTCTAAGCATCCAGTCAGACCTGAGAAGCCATGTTTCTTTTAATGGTTGTGACCAATTTATCTGATTCAGAGAAAGCAGCATATTTGACTACATGCTGGATGAACTCATGTCCTGCATCTTTTTTATTTCATATCAGTAGTAATAAACTTTATTTCTATAGTTTATTTGTAAAATAGTTACAAGGGGTATTTGCAGAATTAGAAAAAAACTAACAATATTTAGTCCAATACATACATAGTTTTAAAAACGTTTCGGTAAGAGGAAGTAAATTCCAGAGTGTTCTGTTAAAGCCAAAACACGGTGCACCTGTTTTGTTAAGCCTGAAACTTGCATGTTTGTTGCTGATCTCGTGCTAAATATTTGAAGGGGGAACAAGATAAGCAAATCATATATGTAAATAAATATGGTTGGAATGAATTAAAAGAATATGAACTTCATCACCAGCACATTATAGTCCACAGTTTTTATTTATTTAAAGTAAACTAGCAAACACTAAAACTAATGGTTTTATTTTATTGTATGTAGTTTTCTAAGTTCACAAAATTCTTTATTCCAAAAGTCTCGTTTTGACTTTCATTGTTGTTAACTACGATTTTTAAAATCGGGTTTTAGTTTTTAGTTACATGTCAGTTAACTATAATAACGTTCGGTCCTGGGAATTGTGCCAAAAAGTGATTGCTGATGTTTGTATGTGCATTTTGTCTAATATCCATAGTTATACTGGTAAATTCATGGAGGGGATTTATATAAAATTGATTTGTTTTGCAAGTATTCTCGTGACCCTGCACTGTTGTACCTACGCTGTGTTCATTATAATCAGTCACATTATAATCAGTCCAGTCTTTTTTGCCAGTTAAAATATCTTTATAGAACTGTTAAAAGTCACTTTGCCAAAAAACTGATTGCAGTCTTTACGTTGTGATGGAAATGTTCTTTCTGCTTCAAAATGACTAAATATCATTCATGAGAGATATGTGTGACAGATTATAGGCCAACGAGCTATTTACAACAGCTTAAATACTGGCAATCACTTTTTGGACCCCTTTTGGGTTCAGAACTGCCTCGATTCTTCGTGGTATAGATTCAACAAGGTGCTGGAAACATTCCCCAAAATTCTGGTCTATGTTTACATGATAGCATCACAAAGCTGCTTCAGATTTGTTATGATGTGAACCTCCTGATCCACAATATCCCAAAGGTGCTGTGTTGGATTACGCACAGGTGGCTGTGGAGATCATTTTAGTGCAGAAAACTTCATGTTCAAGATATTAGTTTAAGGTGATTTGAGTTTTGTGACACGGTGTGTTACCCTGATGGAAGCAACAATCAGAAGACGGGTCATAAAAGGTCAGCAACAATATTCAAGTGTACTGTGTCATTTAAACTACGGGGCACAAAGAGCATCAAGAGAATATCCTCCACAACATGCTTCCTGTTCCTAGCTGATGGGAGTGGCACCTGGTATCTATTTAAAGGTTTGATATGTTGATATGTTTTGAGTAGCTATTTGAGTTACTGTTGCCTTCCAGTCAGTTCAAAGTAATCTAGCTATTCTACTCTGATCTCTACCATCATCAGGGCATTTCTATTGATGACATAAGTAAGATATTTTCCTTTTTTTGGACCATTCTCTGAAAACACTAAGGATGTTTGTTTGGGAAAAATCCCAGCAGATCAAAAGATTCTAAAATACTCAGACTAGCCCGTCTGGCACCAACAAGCACGTCACGTTCATCTTTCTTTCCTGTCTGACTATCAGGTTGAACTTCAGCAGTTTGTCTTGCACAAATGCCTAAACATATTGAGTTGCGTTCGCACGATTGGCTGGTTAGATATTTGTGTTTCGCAGTTGATCGGGTTTACCTAATGCTAGAAGCTATAAGATGCTAGAAGAGCCTTCCAAGTCTCTGAGCCATCTTAAAGATGCTGTAGGTAACATGTTTTTGGCATAATTGAGAACAATTATTCTGTATTTTTAAACCAAACCAAATGCAAACGAACACTGAACAGAACAGAAAATGAAAATAGCTCAAAAAACAACAAGAACCAAACGTAAAAACAACTACCACAAATACAATATGAAAAATGATTAGGATAATCATGGAATCTGACTTCCATAAAATAAAATTACACAATCATTGTCATTTTAACAACTTTATGTGAAAAAGAAAGCGGTAGGAATAAACAGGGTGTTGGATTTCTACTATTTTCTGCCTCTTACAACTTAAAGACAAAGATAAATGCATGCACTCTCTTATGCAATCATCTCATTTAGAATGTGGGGTTTAGAAAAGAAGCACATTTGTAAATCTTTGATTCACAGTAACATTTTATATGCTTAACCGGTCCAAAAACAATGTCTGCAATTAAATAAGATCACGCTTTCTCTTCTGCTTCTGTCCTTCCAGCAGTTGCCATGGATTTGGACAGCGAACTAAAAGAGATAGCCACTGAGATGAAACATCTCTCACTCAAAAGGGTACAACTGAAGGAGAGGAAAAACATTCTGTGCATATTTCAAGAGTTGAGGAATCGAGCTGAGTTTGGACAAACAGGTGAGCACTCAAGCAACTTCTGTGACAGTAATGGCTGTTTGCAGTCTTTTATATTTTCCATGAAGAATAAAAGCAAGTTGCGCTATATGTATAATCTCTGTACGGTTACTGTTTTGTTTTTATAATCAGAGGAAGCAGTCTCTACTCAGAAGGAGATTGAGAGCATCGATGAGAAACTGAAGGAACTGAATGAAAAACAGTCCGAGCTCCAGAAAAATTACGACAACATGCTCAATGCCGCCAAAAACAAACAGCACAAGAAAGGTGAGTCCCAGTTTGCTATGGTAAATCTAGCACACTTTACGCAGCTAACCACATTTGTTCTTCTTTGTTAGTGGTCAGTTTCACAGACAAAGAGAATATAGATTCTGCTGCTCCTCCTTCTCCTCCTCCTGGCTCTAATATTGTCTATGTTGTGGCTCCGCCTACTATCCCAGGTGAGCTACTTTTGGAAATTTGTCCTGTAAAACATAAAAGAATGAAAAGTTGAATGAAAACCACACTCGTGGTGAGGACTGCATGCAGATACTTGTGCTTGGATCGGGCCTTCTTGAGTGCATTTTCCCTTAGCTGCAGATCAAATACGACTTCATGCTACTGATTTTTGTACCTTCATGTGTGTTTTTCTTTCTTTTTTGTGGAAAACTATTTAACAGTTTGTCCAAGTTTAAAACGAGAGAGACGGATGTTTTGTTTTTATAAAATAAATCACCAATCATGCATGGCTTCCCTTCACAGCCCCTGAAGTGGTTCTGGAGCTGGACAAGCTCCCGGCAGCTCCGTGCAGGACACAGTGCCCTGAGTGTCGGCAGTTCATCACGACAGAGACGTTCTCCTCTGTCAGCAGTGTGACATGGCTGGTGTGCATCATGACAGCTTTAGTAGGGTAGGAAAGTCTCCTCCAGATTTACCATTGAAAGATTTGGACTGTTTCTGTTTGTCTAGCCAGTGTTATTGTCACCGTTACACAGCTTCCAGGCTAGTTGTCACTTAAGTGTCTTCTTGTTTCTTTTTTCGCAGCTGTGTGGCTGGTTGCTGCCTCATCCCCTTTTGCATGGATAGGTTCAAGTCCACCAACCACAGATGTCCTAAGTGTCGAACATTAATCAAAACTATTAAAAAGCTCTGAGATGAAAGCAGATAGGGAAAGATGGAGAAGATACTGGATATCCACCTAGTGATGATAACAACACAGCTGCAAAGGGTCTCCTGCACAATGCACTGAACATCAGTGCATGACCGGTGATGTTTGTAATCTCAAACTATAGCTGCTATTACTTTTTAGAAGCCTGTCAGACGAGACAGGTGGTTTCTGCCTTTATGCATATGCATACAGGGAGTGCAGAATTATTAGGCAAGTTGTATTTTTGAGGAATAATTTTATTATTGAACAACAACCATGTTCTCAATGAACCCAAAAAAATATCAAAGCTGAATGTTTTTGGAAGTAGTTTTTAGTTTGTTTTCAGTTTTAGCTATTTTAGGGGGATATCTGTGTGTGCAGGTGACTATTACTGTGCATAATTATTAGGCAACTTAACAAAAAACAAATATATACCCATTTCAATTATTTATTTTTACCAGTGAAACCAATATAACATCTCCACATTCACAAATATACATTTCTGACATTCAAAAACAAAACAAAAACAAATCAGCGACCAATATAGCCACCTTTCTTTGCAAGGACACTCAAAAGCCTGCCATCCATGGATTCTGTCAGTGTTTTGATCTGTTCACCATCAACATTGCGTGCAGCAGCAACCACAGCCTCCCAGACACTGTTCAGAGAGGTGTACTGTTTTCCCTCCTTGTAAATCTCACATTTGATGATGGACCACAGGTTCTCAATGGGGTTCAGATCAGGTGAACAAGGAGGCCATGTCATTAGTTTTTCTTCTTTTATACCCTTTCTTGCCAGCCACGCTGTGGAGTACTTGGACGCGTGTGATGGAGCATTGTCCTGCATGAAAATCATGTTTTTCTTGAAGGATGCAGACTTCTTCCTGTACCACTGCTTGAAGAAGGTGTCTTCCAGAAACTGGCAGTAGGACTGGGAGTTGAGCTTGACTCCATCCTCAACCCGAAAAGGCCCCACAAGCTCATCTTTGATGATACCAGCCCAAACCAGTACTCCACCTCCACCTTGCTGGCGTCTGAGTCGGACTGGAGCTCTCTGCCCTTTACCAATCCAGCCACGGGCCCATCCATCTGGCCCATCAAGACTCACTCTCATTTCATCAGTCCATAAAACCTTAGAAAAACAGTCTTGAGATATTTCTTGGCCCAGTCTTGACGTTTCAGCTTGTGTGTCTTGTTCAGTGGTGGTCGTCTTTCAGCCTTTCTTACCTTGGCCATGTCTCTGAGTATTGCACACCTTGTGCTTTTGGGCACTCCAGTGATGTTGCAGCTCTGAAATATGGCCAAACTGGTGGCAAGTGGCATCTTGGCAGCTGCACGCTTGACTTTTCTCAGTTCATGGGCAGTTATTTTGCGCCTTGGTTTTTCCACACGCTTCTTGCGACCCTGTTGACTATTTTGAATGAAACGCTTGATTGTTCGATGATCACGCTTCAGAAGCTTTGCAATTTTGAGACTGCTGCATCCCTCTGCAAGATATCTCACTATTTTTGACTTTTCTGAGCCTGTCAAGTCCTTCTTTTGACCCATTTTGCCAAAGGAAAGGACGTTGCCTAATAATTATGCACACCTGATATAGGGTGTTGATGTCATTAGACCACACCCCTTCTCATTACAGAGATGCACATCACCTAATATGCTTAATTGGTAGTAGGCTTTCGAGCCTATACAGCTTGGAGTAAGACAACATGCATGAAGAGGATGATGTGGACAAAATACTCATTTGCCTAATAATTCTGCACTCCCTGTATTATAATGCATTTTTCAGGCATGTCTGTGTAACAAAATGTATATTTCATTAATACTTTGGTACTTTAAACATGCTAGTTATTTTCAAATCTTTTTTAAATACAATAAAACTTCAAAATTACAGACTTTCCTTGTAAACTTTTAATGGCAAGCAGTAAAGGGCAAGTGCTGAAGCTCATAGCCAGACACTGAAATCCCAAAGAATCTCTGTATTTACAAAACGACTGTTAATATTTGTATAAAAAGCCAACATAAATACATCATGTGTAAATCATACAAATGCAAGGTTTTTGTATGCTAGTGTAATAAAGACTAAACATTTGTCATTCCAGCACATAACCCCTTTTTAAGGAGAGACACTTGGGTGGTCAAATGAGGCACAAAGGAGGAGATGGGGAAAAGAAAAAAAAATAATAGAAATTTGCATCATTTTCATAACAACTATTTCCATATTTGGGTGGCTTAGAAACTGCCAGTAAGTGGTCAATAATTTAACAATATGACACAGTTATTACACACAAACTGTACTGCCAAGATATAATGGTTTGTGTCACTATTAACAACAGAAACCAAAAGGATAGCACGTCTTCCATTTGTTTGTATGAAGCTGATTCAAATCAGATGTGGCCAGTAGATGTCACTGAACTACAACCTGACTTGTAACGTCTGATGGTTATTTGATTTTGAAATGATGCTGAAGCAAAAACGAGCGCTGGATCATACTTCTGTTATTTTTCTCTGGTGTTGTGTGTTTGTGAGCTGCGCAGATGTCTATTTACTGAAAAATGAAAATAAATTATTCAAACATCTTCAGCCTTTAGGAATCAGTCCATCGCCCATCGCTGTAAGTGAAGAGTCTGGCTCCATCTTTCGCTGTCTCGCTCCCCTTTTTTAAGCTCGCATTTGTCTCGCGTATGTTTGACAGTGTGTACAGATGCACGGTGAGATACATAACAGACTTGTCTTCACTCTTTGATCTGTTTTGCAAAGTGCAAGAGAGGAAAACATGGGTTTTTTTTGGTAATAAATACTGGCCTTGGTTTAGTCAGAGCAGCTGGGCTGCTTGTTGTGGCCCCTTTTCTAATTTCATCATATTCACACTCCCAGCTCAAATTAAACATCTGATTTATACTTCACAATTCACATACACACAAGGATCGTGCAGCGGTTGTGTGTTTACAATCTGTTTTGATAGTGATAATCATTCCAAGACAGGGTGGAGTAAACTACACAGCAGCCCTCAGCTACGTTCGCTGTTTGGCCGTTAGCACTGTGGCCAGGATTTGGGACATTTTCCTGCTCTTTCTGCTCACACCACGCTGACTGTAAAGCTCTACATTCACTGAGATCAGAGGACTAAGAGGAATCAATAACATTAAATGAGACTGATAACAAATCAGCGGCGTGTCTTGAGATGGAAATCTTAAAAGCTTACTTCCACTTTCAGCTCAAACTGCCAGTACCACTCTAACTTTATCTGTCTCCCGATACAACCAGAGGATTTAGAGACCTCAAAGGAAGCAGTTCAGCAACTTCTAAAGTGATGTTGCACGATGAGATTATTACAGAGCTGATTTATCTGTCTGGAAAGCAGAACGGAGCTGCTGAAGCATCCAAACAGCTCTTATTGTCTCATGGAAACAAAAGCAGTCTTCTCTCACAATGAAAAGCGATCGACTTGACAGCACTCAGTCCCAGTTCAAGTGCAGTTCACTAGAGTCCAGGAAGTCAGACGAGAAGACGCCTACTGGCACCGACACATCCAAAGAGTGACCCTCCTCTGCTGGCACAGACAGAGTGAGATCCAGCCAATCCATGTTGTCCATGTTGAGAGCAGAGGTGGACATGTTGTCATTAAAATCCACTTCCATGGTGTCCCCAGGTGCATGTAACTCCTCCATCAGCTTCAGTTTTTGTGGTTCTGTGTCAGGGAGCAGTGCGCCCTCCAGGAGGGTTTCCAGCCGGGAGTCGGAGGTCACGCACGCAGGCGGCTTTGCTACCTGGACTAAGGGTGGAGGGCGGGATAAAGCTGTGTTGATGGGAAGGGTGGTTACACTAGCTGTCACCACAAGAAGCTTATCCAGGTTGGGAGGATCCTGTGTAATATAGGGGGAGATCTCTGAAAAAAAGAAGAAGAAGAGAAGAACATGGTGAGATTTAAAACCTCATAAAGGTATCACAATAATCAAATCACACCCAGTATTCTCACCACCACTCTCCAGCAACACGTCAAACAGGTCATCCATCTCCTGGCTGGCCGCAGTGGGACCCTGCAGAGAAAAGAAACCGTTACATGTCTGAATGACACAAGTGAGATGCTATATTTATGTATCAGATTCTTGCCTGAACAGCTGTTAACATGCTGTGTTTCTGTTTAACGGCATCCTCATAGCGCGGTGGGTCTTTACACTTTGACACGTGGTTCGTGAATTTTGGATGCTGCAAGATCAAACTGTTTGGAGACTGGCTGGAACAGGGAGGCTAATAAACAGGAAATAAACAACATCAAATACAAAAATACTAACTACATAACATTAATTCTTGCATGCTTTACAGAAAAAGTAAACATAAGCAGAAGGAACATAAGGATAATCTCCACCTTATTTGTAGGTCCTTTGGGAAGAGCCTGGCCTGAAGAAACTCCTGCAGTGCATCCACTCACTGGGAATGTATTGAGAAAGTTCTGTGCCGCGGTATTAATCCTCCACGTCTGCACAGAGAATTGAAGAGGTCAGCACGGAGGCATCAGTGCAATCAAACATACTTTCTCTCAGGGAGTTTGGTTAAAGTAGCAGTGCAGCTGCATGAGAACTGTGGAAACCTGAAAGAAAACCCACTGTGGATCATTCACTTTTACGCAAAGACATCTTAAATTAAATTTCTTCAGCCCCTCTCCAGCCGGAGGATGACAATGTTTCATCTACCTATGACGGCACTGTTTGCAGGGTAAACCATGAGAGCTGCGGTTGAGTTAAGCAGCGGGTTCTGTTACTAATTCTGCCTGCATGTCGGACTCAGAGCAGAGGAATGACTGGGAGCGATGAGGGCACGATGGTCAGCTCTCACTCAGCACCTGCTCCAGTAACCCATGTTTCCACAGGCTTTCTTTTGATGTGCGGAGTGAAAGATGCCACCACTCAGCAGAGGCCTGTTATTACCGTAGCATCAAGGAAGGCGCATTAGCCATGGTAGCGCTTAACTGACTGTTAAATTAGTTACGTGATATATTATGCAGTGCCATGAAAAACATGGCAGAACATTTATGATGTTATCTTGTGTTTACACAGCACAATACTGGATTTATGATTTCAGGCGCACATACATACGCATTGATACGTTTCCAGTTCCTACAAGGAGACTAAAGTGAGCACAAAGTCACAGCTGATAGTGGTGATGAATGGGGAGACAGGCTGAGGCAGTCTGTAGAAGCAGCGTAGCTTTTTTTCTTACCTTTGCCAGTGGCTGGGTTTGAGTACTGCATTGCTGATGTATTACTGCTGAGGCCTCTGTTTTCTGTGGCACCGATCCAGAAGCCTGGATAAGGCCTGTGTGTAATGCAATGCCTTTGGTGGGGAGCTGGATAGTGGCTGCTGAGGCAGGAAGGGATGCGGGCAGTAGGATCTGAGCTCCGGCCTGCGCAGGCTGACGGGATTCAGACTGTGTGATGGTCTGGTGACCGAGAATGAATTGATTTTGACTGGCTATGTGGCTCTGATCTGCAGGCTCTTCCTGTTTGACCAGTACTGGCAGACCAGGAGAGCTGCAGGATGCAGTGCAGTTTGACGGAGTCCTGCGTTCCTCTTTGACCTTGACAAGAAGCAGAGGACTGAGCTGAGATGGAGAGTCTCCCTGTTGACTCCTTTTCTCCACCTCCAATTGCATCTTCAGTTCCTCCACCAGCCTCTGCTCCTGCTCCAGCTTCCTCATTAGTTCCTTAATTTGACGCTCCTTTTCATGTAGCCGTTTGTCCTTTTCAGAGTCCTGCTCGTGGGATTTTGTGTCCATGGGACACTCCTCATGTGGCGCACTCTGTGGGGAGCTCATGCAGGGAGCATGATGGGCTGGAGCATCTGAAAGCAGTTTTGTTGGACTGTCTGCCGTACTATTATCTTCTATGCCCAGATTAGAGACTCTAGAAGCAATAGGGGACACTGGTGGGGTTAATTTAGGAGTTTCTGACTGTGAGATTGCTGCATCGATGGGAGCAGCAGTCTGGATGCTAGAGTTCTCCTGATACAGCTTTAGCCTCTCGATCAGCTCAGTCTTGGTCCCAGAAACATGCAAAGATCTGAGTTTTAATTCCATTTTCAGCTCAGCTACCTGCAAAGATAAAAGACTTGTAAAACAGCTGCACAACACTCAGCTCGTTCACCTCTGCAGCAATCATATATGCATGATACAATCAGGCTGCGCAGGCTGCAGTGCGTCACCTTCATCTCGTCCAGATTAGCTGGTAAGTGATCCGGCTTGCGGTTCATGTGGTGGAGCTGCAAAGGGGCAGACGCAGCGTTTCCACTAAAAGCAATGTTAGAACAGCTGGTTTGTACCTCAGTTGTTGGTCTGCTGTAATAAGATGTCAAGAAAAGGGAGTGCAGATGAGAGAGGGATTTTTTCTTTAATCCATTTTTCATAATGAGCACCTTCTGTGTAGGAAGCTGCGAGCAGGAAATGCAGAGTAATTGAGACAAAAAGCAGCTGTGATTAAACCGTGATGACAGTTATTACATTTTACATAACAAGGTGCGTACGTCTGACTGAGGATTTGAAAATCAACGTTGAAGTAATTGTAATGAGGATAAGAAAAATCCTGACTGCGATGAAGTAAAGCTTAATGGAGCCATACTTGAGCTTGGAGGCCTGGTAATTGTACTGCTGCTGTTGCTGCTTCTGCTGGTTTAGGATCTGGAGCTGCAAGAACTGCTGCTGTTGCTGCAGGAGGCGGGCGTAAGCAGAGTCCATTGGCACGTCATTAAGCTCTTGTTTCTGGTCCGGGGGAATATACTGATGGTACTTCAACTTCTTCACTCGTGGTTTGGGCTCTTTGCTCTTTTTGCTGCGGCTTTTTTCAGCAGGAGGCTTAGCCAAGCTTTGCTGCAGAGCACAACACACACAAAAAGGGGTACATAAGACCAGAGAGGACCATGTGGAGGATATTCTTTCCTCATGACTGATCTCAGGCCAGTCCAGTTAACTTTATCAGGAAAGACAGTTTGCACTGCCAGTACCAACACTGTAAGAGTTGGAACTGATACGGTACTTTTATAACTTTAACATTAACATTGCTCTGACACTCGATGAGAACAGCAGGATGAGGAAACGGGTAGTGGAAATGTTACACTTATTGTTTTACCACCTGCAATTACAGGATGTAGTACTCATGAAAATGGCTTGGCACAAGAGCAGCAGGTTCTAGCAATGAAATCAGAAACTCGGGCCGGGTTAAACAAGCACTCACTTTCCAGTTTGTCAAACTCACTCCCTTATTATGTTCAAAGGGAGGGAGAGTTTAGCTTATACTCTGAGGATAACTGCATTATGATAAATGGATAAGTTATAGCTTCACTCCCGTTCTTTGATTCACAGCTTAGCCACGATGAGGAGGGCCGGCCTGTCATTTGACCCTAAAAATAGACAAACTGTGGCACAGATTTAAACCTCTGGATGGGTGAAATAACTTTAACCCTTGCTCTTTGACCTGCGCTCAACTCCAGCTAAATGCTGAATTTTTTTTGTCTGAGCCAAAACTGATGTAACTTTTCGCATGAGAAATAACAGACTCTGACATTGTGTCTCTCGTCACATTTTCAAAGGAAGCAAACAAAATAAATCAAACACACAGATGAAGAAAATAAGTCAGGAAAACAGCCAGAGGTCAACACTGCAACAGCTGCGTATAAACTACACGACAACAATGACAAGTAACCATAAACTTTTTTTTTTTTTTTTTTTTAGAAAAATAAAGAAGATTGGGTTTTTAGGGGAAATACAGATAGTTATTTTGAAGGTCAGATTGCCAAGACTTTGGAGACTATTTTCCCACAGCCAAAAATCTCATGTTTTTATATGATAGTGTTATTGGTTACGGTTACATATGATGATGATGATTTAAGACCTCAGAGGATTTTAAAAAAGCATCACTAATCTAACTTTAGCTGTAAGATCACATTAAAATGACTAAGAGAAAAGTCACCTTCACAAGAACTGGCCCCGGTGTAACACAGGTGACGACAGTGGTGACAGGTTGAGGTTGAGTTGATTGTAGGTTGCTTTGTTGCTCACCGGTGGGCATAGGGTTGTTTAAATCTGATGCAGACTGTGAGCTGGGTGGCGGGGAGTGCTAAGAAAAGTAAAGAGAGAGCAAAATCACATGAGCCCCTCAGTAAGAACAGCAAAGCTGAAACACCTGCTAACTATCATGCCATCTATGAAAAGGAAGAAAATATGACCCAAAATAGGCTGATAAACACTTGAAAAATGAGCATGGAAAACTACTAAAACACAGCTGATGTGCTGTATGTAGCAACTTAAGTAACCTAGGTTTTTGGTCGTCTGATACTGGTGTTGTTGTACCTGTATGGTCGTTTTTAACATAAGAGTGGCCTCTTCAGACTCCCGCGGCGAGGCCGATGTAGAGCTGGGAGAGTGTTGGCTTGCAGGACGTTGCGGTGAAAAGGCATCGCTGCTGTCCTCATCAAAGTTGTACACATCCGAAGTGTCAGGTGTCTTCGCACGATCCACCTTGCTACCACCTGTGGCACAGGATCAAAAAATAAGCAAGCACTGGTTATTATTTATTTCAAGGATAAATAAAAATAATGCAAATAGAGCAAAAATCTCTGACTATAGTTTAGAGATGTAAGCTGAGACTGCCCTGCTGACATATTTCGACGTAAATGTCATAAAAAACAAGCTACAGTTTTTTCAGTGAGGGCCAGCTTATCAGTATTAGCATTATCACAGTTTTACTGCTGTAATTAAACGGGGAGACCTTTCTCACAGCAGGCCTTTGCTTCCCAAACAAAGATAATACATCATTAAAAATAGATAAAAATCCACCAGATGTGCTGCACAGCTGGTTTGAATTACCTTCGCTGTACTCACTGTAAGTGGTGAACAGATATAATAATAACAATGAGGCTCTACCATTATTAACCTCCTCAACACCGGGGTCCACAGGCAGGATGTTCTTCTCCACCAGCTCCATGGGTCCGGGCCTCTGGGCGATCTTCTCATTGAGATCATCAGTCAGTCTGGCCCTCTTCAGCTTCATTTGTGTGGCCTGCAGGGAGGGCTCTGCATGTGTCTCTGATAAACACAAAGAGGATGTTCATCTGTGATCTGGCCAGTATCAGTCAGTCTCTCAAACTGCTTTATCATACTGACTCACAGCAGACTGAGCCAGACCTCACAAAAGCCATGCGTGTGGTTATAGCTTTGTTAAACACAAAGGTAATCATCTCTCTTATCTCAACACTCTTGCCCAGTAAGAAAACACCCCCGGATGATTACCTTGTAGGATGTGCATGCGGACCAGCTCAGAACGTCCGGGTCGGCTGCAGAGTTTGTGCTTCAGGAAGGTCCCAGTCTGTTTAAGAAAAGAAAAAAAATAAGAAAATACTCTGGGTACAGGATTGTGATCATCTGCAGGCTAGAGTGCATTCATTGCTGGCTTACCCTGGCTCTCTCCAGGCTGCGAATCTGCTCATGGAAGGCAGCAGGTGCTTTTAGGGCTACGAGAAGAGAAATCCATAAGAAATCAATACATTTTCTTGTTTAATACAGGCTAATTTCACACACACGAATGTTCCTTTGATTTTAAGACTGATGTCTTTTTGCATTCATTCTTTCTAATCCCAAATAGTTTTCCCTTTGTCTGCCTTTGATATCATGACAAAGTATGTTTATGTAGCAAGCCTCTTAGTGATAAGATTGTACTCCACAACAACAGAAATGATGGTGTAACAGCATAAGTATAATACCACAGGAAATCTCAGTATTTCTAAAACATATACTTTTCATAATGGCCCTCATTAAAAAGTCTTTTAAAGTTATCAAGCAGTTTTCTCAAAAGTACCAATAACGTACTGTATGCCGACATAAAGTGTTTAAAATTATGGACAACACATATGTAAAAAAAAAAAAATCTAAACTACAAATACACATTTGTTACAAACAGTGTAAGCAGATATAAAGAAGAAAAGAAGGGAGATAAAATGCATCTTTATTCCCAAATATGCCAAAAAACTATTTTCACACTCCAGGGTCGTCCAGTTTCATGTCATTGTTTATTATTTTGTCTCCTTTTTGGCATGCAATGGCGTGTCATTAATAATCAGCAGCTCGTGGGCGGGTGTCTGACAGGAAGTGTCAGTTTAGCTGACTCAAACAACGATTATTCCGTCCTAATTTCTGATCTGACCGAGTAAACTTGTTGAGCTTCAGACGAGGTCTGGCTCACCGGCGAGTCACCTCTGCTATGACGAACATTGTTTGGTTTAAGGACACTCTGCCTGGGGGGTGCTCTGAGGAGTGTGTCAGAGGAGCAAAGCAAACATTCCTCATGACCAAAACCTCACTGCATACCTATCATAAGCCTCTAAGTGTAGGAGAGGCAGATTGCTATGGAGAATGGCCTGGGAGGCTTGTGTGCAGGCTACGCTTGGCCAGGCCGCAGAGGGGATGGGGGGGCGTCTGACCTCCACTGAAGGCTCAGCCGCTGACTCATGAGGCCGCGTGGAGCCAGAGAGGACCTGAAAACTTGACTACAGGGGGCTTTTCATGACAGAACTAGATAAAGAGGAAGATGTCCATCTTTTTCCCCTTCTGTCTTTCCAGCTCTCAGTGGGATTCTGTCACAGTTTCAGCTCATCTTTTATTGACTGTACTCCTAAACAAAAGGCTTGCTGGAGGGAGGTAAAACAGGGACCGAGTCAGCTCCACCTCTGCTGGATCAAAGGATGGATGTGGATGGTATTAAAGCGGAGAAAGCCTCTCCAGCTTTGACACCAGTGTGTCATTTATCTGTTATATATTCCAACCATTTTCACCAGGTTTTCAAGCACAGTGAAGCGATTTCAGCCTCTGACATAATTCTATAAAACAGCCCTTATAAAATAAAGCAGTTTGATGTACAAAGAGGATCTATTATATTAACTCTGAAATCCATATTCTCCATTCTTGGACTCTACTAAAGTGGCTTTGCATGATTTATAAGTCAAAATAATCCTCATTGATCCTGTATTAGGCTTTGGTGCAGCTCCTCAGTTCTTCCACTGTCTCAAACAAGTCGTTTTAGCTCCTCTCTCTTCAGTGCCACCCTCAATTCATACCAACTTTCTTCTGATTGGCTGCCCCTGGTAAATTTGAGGTTTGATCAGCAGGTTCAGCCGGAATTTCTGTACTCACACTTGTATGCCTGTCAAGGGATATTCCATCTCTTTGACATCACACACAGTCAAGAATAGAAACGTCCTGAAAACAGTCTGAAGCATGAGCGTTTGGCTCAAATTACTTGTAGTTAAAGAAACTCATTATTTCACACTAATGGGCTCCATTTAAATCCGTCCATCCATCCCTCAGTCTAGTTTCTTCCACTTATCCAATCATTACAGAGGATTCATGATAAGCAGTGTATACTGGATGTCCTTCTACCCAGCAACATTTTGTAGGACACTTTCCTAAGGTAAGCTGAGCTATATTATCTCTCCAGTACATCCAAAACCTATCCCTGGGTCTCCTTCCAGATGTGCATGCTCAGAAAAACTATCCTGATTACAAGCCCAAGGGTTGGCTCTACTCTTGCAGCTCCCACTAGATTTGATTTATTAAATTATCAAATAAAAGCACAAAAAAATACCACAATAAATTCTGTATTTTGAGTTGCTTCATGATCCCCTATGTTCACCAGCTATTTGCTATAGAGCCTGTTAATTTGGGAGAAATAAAAACAGAATATTTTGCTAGCTATAATTTTTTTATTTCTTATTAAACTGTTAGCAGTCGGACGTACCGCCCACGGGACATTGGATGGTTTAGGGGACTAATAGGACTGCTAAGGGGTTAACACTGTTGGTGATGTTCACTGTTGTCTTATGTAGTAAAAATACTCACGCGGCATGATGCCTTGGTCCACAAGTTGCTCCCGAGTTCTCCTCTGCTGCAGACAGAGCTGCAGGACTATGAGAAAGCGGAGACACAGAGGTCAGGGTTAAACTTTTACCATTCAGAACCAGTTTGACTGAGTCACCTAACAACCATCCCTTCTGGCTTTGAACTGCGAAACCTGCAAGACTTCAAATAAAACAAGGCACTTATTATTTCTCAATCAATACGCTGCCCGAAAGGCTCAACTGTAAACCCCGTTCACCACCACAGACATTCTGTACTCTTCCTGTATGGTTTTAGCTCAGGGGTTGTGAGGAGTACCACACATTTTACAACACGCAAACAGTGTGATTGGCTGACAGCCTTCCCAGTGAGAGGCAATATCTCTGTGTGGGTTGCAAATGCGCTGAGGAAATAAAGTAACTACAGAGAAGAACACAAACAGATAAAAGAGGGATTAATGTCAGACCTGCAGTTACAATAATGAGGAAAACTTGAGCTGGTCATGACACCACTGAGAGCCAAGTAACTTGTGTCTGTTTAATAAATTGTTTTTAAAAACTAATCTTGCTTTGGATGGATAAGAAGTGACCAGTCATGTTACTGTGGAACATCAAAGACATGACTATCTTCCAACAGAAATTGTTGAGTCTTGCATGCGAGCTCTGCATATAGCACTTGGATGATCTTCGGTTTTATTTCCCCAAAAATATAAACTGTAGTAAGACGTTGTTTAAACATTTATAAACACGTGAGCGTGGACATGTTATTTCAGTAGAACGCCGAAATTCAGTGCAGGCAAAAAAAAAAAAAAGTCTGAACAGAAGGCGATGGGTGATGGGAACGAATGAAGTGGCGGTGGTGAGGTACGTGAGGCCTTTATTGTCACCCTCGTAGTAAAGTGAAGTTAACTTTAGCTCGATCTACTCAGGGGCATTTTTGGGGGGTGGGGGGCAGCTCCCACTCATACACAAACACACACAAATACAAGGCAGACCTGCTCAACTCTCCTGGGAAAGGCGCTGCTTCTGAACGGGCCTCTGTGACTCACGCTAGCAAAAATAAACTGGGCAGCTGTGAGAACAAGGCCTGGGAACCATGAAATTTGGGGGTAGTTAAGGGGGTGGGCTCTGCATTCGTACGCAGAGACGAGGGGACGTTCATGGGCTTCTACTGGTGGGCAAGGGAACGCGGAGTGACAAGAACCGAGGCAAAGGGTGGAAGGCCGAGGCCACTCTCATAGCAGCCCATCCACTGCGGGACAGAGAACACAGTGTGCCTGCTCTGCCTGCTGTGTTTCCTATTACAAACACAGGCCAGAGGGGTTTATGGTCAGCCAGAGATGGATCATAAAGGAAGATTGTAGAAAATGCCACAAGCAAGAGAAGAGTGCATACTACAACATATGAATAATATCAAAAAGTGCCTCCTAGCTCTGACAGAGAATGCAATTTTTAATTTGAGGTATGGTAGTATGGGGTTACAACTCATGCCGGGTCCTCCTCATCACTCGGTGTCATCTTTGGTTCAACCTGAACCCTGGCTAACCTTCTCCGTGATGCAAACTGGCTCCGCTCTCCTGCTCACCAGCAAAGCGTAAACAGAGGTTTTGGAGAAACATAGAGAGGGGGCTCGGCTCAAATCCTTGTCTACTGATGTAATCTCTAATCTCAGACCCATGTTGTTCTCAGCAAATCATCCCTGGAGGTCTCCCATCAGACCTCTGAAACAATACAAATAAAAACTGGTGTGGCCAAAGCTGAATTTAGTTTAGAAAGAGACTCATGCTGGGTTATGTTGATTTTGCAGTTATAAATACAGAATTCTCCAAACAGAGTCCCACTTTAACAGCATTTATAACCAGTGATGGCATGCATCATGAATATTGAGATAAAATTAGTCTATCAAAAATGTCATTTTGATTTTCCTTTCATGCCTTTGTGTGGAGCCTAGAAACTTAAAGGCTGACTTCAATCTTTGGAAAACACAAGTACATCCTACATTTAGCAACGCAGAGAATTCATCAGCAAGACTTTATCTCAGTAAATTAAATGAGTACTGAAAATGTAAGAAAAGAAAGTAAAGCATGCTTAATTTTACATTATTTTTAATTTTTATATTATTATAGCCAGAATCATATGAATAAGAAAGTAAAAACATATTGCTTCCTTTCTGCCATGATTAGGTGTCAGGACAACCAGGTTTCTCACTTTATATGGGAAAGAAAAGCCTTTTAATAACATTATCCCACATTTTAAATGGCAAAAGGTTTTTTAAGGTTTCATCCAATGACAGTGAAAAAAGCAGAATGACTGTGTGGAAGCCAGTTGTTTGAGTTTTAAAGTGTATAAATACACAGGCGAAAATATGATGTGAAGTGAAGCAGAAGCACAAACTTCTGCTTCCTGTCAAGCTTTTTGTATTTTTTATGCCAAACCTGCAAAGATTGTGATTTTTTTAAAGACAGACACATTAAAGTCTCAGACTAACTCCTAATATCGGTATCAGCATCATCCCACACAAACATACTCTTTCCCCAGCATTTACTTTGTTAGGATTTGGTCAGATTAGTGTCAGATTATTACTCTGTCCTGGCAAAGTGATCTTTAATCTATGAAGAAAGAGATATACTTAGTCAGGTAATGAATAATGTTTTTTGTAAAAGCAGCAAGAATAATTCTAGTGGAAAAACGTATATATATACTTCTTTTGCATAAATCCAGTATAATACACTGTTTTCATTTGAGTGTGATTCTCTGCTCACAGTATTAAAACGTAGCATGCAAAACACGCTATGTTGGATGCCCTATAAACTTTAGGTATTTGCAAAGGGTTTTTTTTCTCACATTGCCAAACAAAGCCTATAAATCACTAACAAGACAGGTATTTTGTGTTTTACTGGCAGAGGCCACTTGCTTAGAGGAATGTCCTGGTGATGAATGCAAACCAGGAAGATAAAAACATGCAAATAATGATCAGAATCCTGATTAGCAGCATATCCAACTACTGCACTTCAGTTGAAGTTACTTCATTGTGTATGCGCATTACAAGAGTGAAGTCATGCTTCTGTGAGGTAATACCTTATAATAGTGATCCTACAGAGTGCCAGTTTGAACACAGGTAATTTAAAGCGATAGGTAATTGCTTTCTACTTAAACAAATTCATCAGAATTCAAAAGAAGTGATGCTCCACTTGAGTCACGATCATGATCTTTTACTGTCATTTCCTGTTATGGCTGTGTGTCCATCACAACAATCCCCCCCTCCGCTTCCGAAGGCAGGGGATTAACATTACATTACAACAAAGCTTTCTGGTTAGAAAAAAAAGAAAGAAAGAAGCAGTACCTGATTTGAATTTACCCCTGCAGATGGAAGGGGTCTCCACGTCAAGGCACGCCATAGGGAAAAGTTGTAGTTCGATTGGTGGCCAGGTCTGGAGTCCCATGTGGTGATGAGGCCAGTGGAGAACACGGGAGTCAGCGAGAAGGAGGAAAGAGCCAGCGCTGAGAGGACGACAGCTGGCTCGCTCTCTCTCCGTCTCTCTGCCGGCCTCAGTGGAGAAAGTGTGTGTAAGTATGTGTGAGCGCTCACTCAACGTCAGAAGGAGGGAACACAGTGGTGCTGGCGTTAACCCTCGCTAGGTCACTGTGTTGTGTTCACAGAAGACTCAAATTGCAACACGACACCAGAGGGAACAACTTTTAAACGTGGTAATAATCAATATTTCTTATGCTGGGGAAATTCACTTGGCCTGGGACCAAAACATTTACTGGCAACCAATAGGAAGCTGATCAAAACAGGCTGTGATGAATTTTGAGTTGGCACATTTTTATAAGAAATAGCGTGTGTGTGTGTGTATGTGTGTGTGTGTGTGCGCAGGGACCCTTGCTGCACTAAATAACAATGACAAGAACACATAGTGGGATGATTTGATTTTTAAATGAGTGATTATTCCTTGAGGTGTTTTTGCAAAATGACATATTTACAGTGTTTGTTTCTTTCTAGATTCCCAGTAAACCCCCAATAAAAATCAAAACTAAAGGGAATGTATAAGAGAAATTTAAAGAGGGGACATCCAAAAACATCTTTGCTAGTCGTCTTTGCCTTTCCGCAGCTAGAAAAACGCTAACAGGAAATGAGATAGGAGCGGATTAGACTAATTGTGGGAAGTTGTGTGTGTCTCAGTGGATCCAGGAAGGATTGCATGTGAGCCAAAACGATCTTGTGTCAAGGCGACGCTGCGAAGACATGATGCTGTGGCAGCTCTGCGCTTGACTGTGAGGTCAATGCATGCTGCGGAGGAGTGGACAACTGCACTCTGGATTAATAATGTCACTTGTGGGATCAAGAAATATGCATGTCAAACAGCGTGGGACGGGGAAAAATAGAGATGATAAACAGAACTGGTAGAGGGCAGGCACAGCATGTTATGACAGCCCACAGTGGGGATTCAACACTGATGCACAACAAGATGATAAAAAATATGGGAGAGTAGTAGGAGGAGCTTTTTAGGAACGTGGAAAAACATCTTCCTGCATGTCATTTTGTCCACAAAAAGTTCACATTTCGAAAGTCTGCTGGATATAGAAACAAAACAAAAGCTTTTAGGAATGCGTGCACACCTGTATTAAACCACAGCGAATATCTAGCTGTGGGCTCTCAAAATTTCCATATCTTTGTTATTGGTAGTCCAGTGCAGGAGCCCAGTTCAGTACAGTCATTAAAATAGTGAGATTACTTTAAAAATAAGATTTTAATTCGTTCACAAAAGACGGAGGTTAAAAAAATCATCCAGCTGTTACTGTCTACTTCTCAAAGTCTTCACTGCTACATTTTCATTTGCACCCTTACTGGTTAAAGCCTAGAATACTAAATGAAAAGATTTTGTTTTATACAAGAAACTCTGGCCGCTGCATCAAGACCTTTATTTTACTGCTTTTTTTCTAAAATATAAGTTCTTAGTTGTTGGATATTTTTCTTATTTTCTTCTAAGGGAATGTTGATTTCAAAGTTTAAATGTCTCGAAGAACTTAAAAGTCTAATCTCTCTAGTCTAGACTGTTGATGCTTTCCATTTACATGAAAAAATTACACTTTTTTAGTGTTGATTTCCAGTTTGGGGTATTTTTTTTCGTGCACCACCAATTTCACCATTAACGACCATTTTAGCCCGATGATTATTGCACTCATTACATCATTACATCCATCTGTTTCCCATTGGCCAGATGGTTTCACTTCCTAATAATTCATTTAGAACTGAGTGAAGGACTTTGCAGTTGCAGCCACTAAATCACTTTGATTCATGATGCAGGTTGGTGCTGAGGAACGCTACAGCCAGCGGTATTATTGACTTCAAGGTACCAAAGGGAACTGTGATATTGTGTTTTAGTTCTAGGTGTGCTCGTGTTATTACAAATTGAGCAAGAGCAGTAAATATGAAATTGATAACTGACTCATTCTTTGGAGTGTTTTGGATGCCGTCATTGTGCATCACTTGTGCAACATAACCCGTAATCACTGACAGACAGATATTGTCATTATTAGGTAGACCCAGGAGACTCATGAAAGATCATCTTCTGTTGTAGGGGTATTGCCTCACCGCAAGAAGATCCTGGGGTTGAATCTTTTAGTCTTTGGGCCTGCATCAGTTTCCACTGCTTTCCTTCAATGACCAGTCCAAAGAAATGCATGTCAGGCCAAATCGGTGATTCTAAATTGATCATAGGTGTAAATGTAAGATAGATAAAGTGCTTCACATGCCTAGAATATGAATATGTCCAAAAGGTAAAATGCGTGAAGTGCGCAGTGGTCAGTAAGACTAGAAAAGCACAACATAAATGCCATACCACTTTATTCCCTGACAAATCTATGTTCCCAAGGAAAACTCTGATTTCAGAAGCTACTTAAGCTGTGATTACGTGTTGGCTTCCAAAGGCAATTCTGATCTGACTTCATTCTTCATTCCATAAACAAATCGCTGAATTGAGTTTGTTTTTCCAGAGTGGCCTTGCTCTTAAATGGTCAGTGTGCAACGTGCGTTGGTGACCTCTGATGCCATTCTTGTGAGTTCAAGTGATGGGAGAGTATGTTGAAGAAAACACATGAATATTGTCAATCCACACACGAGTATGCGTACACGGACACAAATACAGATACACTACAATCTGTTATGTGTAAGGCTACGTGATATTTTAGACTCTTTGTCTTCATGTGAAAATGTAATGACAGTGCAGAAGAGTAATTTCAGCGACACAGAGCCACAGTTTTATTGCAGTTTTTGACTGGGCCTCCCTCGTCTATCTGCGAAGCTCCGTAATAAGAAGCTGCTGATTCCCCAAGGGTGGACAACGCCATGCTATTTTTCTCTCATTAACACAGTGGGGGTTTTTTTTGTAATAGCTGTTTTATATGAGAAATGCCCAAGATATTTCAACAATAAAGGATAATAATTAAAATTGTCATTAAAATCCACAACCTTGCTACTGAATGTTTGGGTTTCTTTCTGTTATTGTAGGGTCTTTACCTTACAATATAAAGCATCTAGAGGTGACTCTTGTTGTGATTTGGTACTATATATAAAAAAAACTGCCTTGTATCGAAGACACAATCAGGCATAAGGAAGGAGATAAAGGAGCTACACTGTAGATGTTGCTGGTGTTGCAGGGCAATTTATAACACAAGTCTCAGATGAGAATAATTCCGATAATGTATTATGTTGAAATAATTTCTTTCTTTTTTTTTTTTTTTTTACACTTTATCAGCTCCACATCATCCTGGTATGAGAGTCTAAAAGATTAGGATTTCATGATATTTGTTTCACTGAAGGTGTGCTGCGGTTGAAGTGTTTAGCTTCCCATTTATTTTTATTCTTTGCTCCCACTGCAACAAGAAAAGCAAAGAAATAAACGTTAACTTTATTCATATTTGGACAAATGTAGCCTGTTCACCTGACAGGGGGGGGGGGTTACGCTTCTGTGTTAAATCTACACTGTAGATACGCTGGAGGGAGATTGCAGAAAGTATCAGGAACAAATCTGTTTGCACTTGAATAATACTGACCACAACAAAAAGTGGGGAGTTTTATTTGTTTCTATCATTGCTGTCAGGTGTACATAAAACACAAATAAACCATCATGAAAAGTATGAATGCTGTTATTAGCGTCGTCTACTTAACATTGGTTATGCTGTAGGCCTGCTGAAGACAACTATTCATTGCAGAAGTCTAAATCATCTATTGGGGGCAAGGCACAAAAGTGGCGTGGGTACCCAAAATCTTTCTTCTTCGCTCTTTGACCCACAAGGCCAAAAGTTGTGAAGTTTGATACACTGATTATGAAGCTTCACCTCAAGTATTTTAATGCCACCTCTGAGCAGATGTTTGAGGTGTGTGCATGCAAACCATTAACCATCTGCTAATGACATAACAATGAAATACTCAGATCATGTTTAAACATCCTATTTTATGAATATAATACTACTACTACTAAATAACTGTACAGTTTTTACCAAGCTGACCAAGACAAAGTAATAGAATGAACAATATAATTTCAATACAACTAGCCAATCAAATTTGGTGAGGGCACTCAACAACAGCTGTTTTTTTTACTGTCACCAGATGTGCTGTGCGCATCGTGGCATTTGTTGCTTCAGGCTTCAGACCTGAACGACCTGAAGTTCTACAAATCTGTTACATTTTTTGATATCCTGTGTTAGCAATATAAGTACTGTAAAACTGCTGTGTTAGACTTTATACCTGTGATGCACTGACAGGTTGGTGAGATTTATAGTTGAATGTAATTAGTTACATTCAGCTGTATAATTAGTAGTATTTGGTCTTTGATATTTGTTTTGTAATTTAAGCTTTAAGGAGTTTAAGAAAAGTTTTGTATTAACTGCTTTGGATTATAGTCATTTTATACACAGGGTACCATTTTCACCGGCTCAAAAGTATTTGGACAGCTGACTAATAACCAGTTCTTTCATTGTCTCATGACAGCTTAAGCAGATAAAAGATGTGGAGCTGATATCAATAGTTGAGCTTTGGTAGCTGTTTGCTGGAACTCTCGACACGAGGCCCAAAGAGATTTCAGTGCAATACTTTTATTAACCCCCTTGAATTAAAATTGAAAGCCTGCACTTTAGCCACTTCTTGTTTGTTTAACGTGCAAGTAACAGGGACTACTATGGACTAGTATTCACTACTTTAGGCTATGAAAACCATATCTAATCTTTCTTTTTTGAAAACACTGTGTGTATTCCTGCTCTATTACTCTGTATACTCTCTGACTTCACACCCAGTGTTTACCATCCCATATGCATGTGTTATGTAAGTTAAATGAAAAAAGTGGTTGCTTAGTTTAGCGATGAATGACAACAAATGTGTTACAGACACTAATATTTATCAGTCCATGATGATTGCTAAAGTTCTTTTTAGCTCATGTATCAGATAGTTTATGCTGCTGTGCTATCATAATCTCCTGGTGAGAAAGTGCAGCTCAACCCATCACAGGGATCCTGACAGTCTTATTACACCTTGCCAAATGACTTTTCAGAGCCAAAATCCACATTGCTTTTTCCCACATGAAGCTACTTTTAACATCAAAGCACTCACTAAATCCAACTCCTGTCCAGAGCTTCAAACTTAGATTCACCAAAT